TTTACTTATTAATTATATTTTTAGTTTAATTATTTATTAAATTTTAATTCTAAAATATATAAGAAGAAATTTAAATTTTTTAAAAAGATTATTTTAAATTTAGTAACCTAAAATTTTTTTAAATAAATTATTAAATTTTACTATAATTAAAATATAAAAAGTAATTAGAAAAGACTTACTAAATAACTTTATTAATATAATACTTTATTATATTTAGATATTAATAATAGTTAATAGCTAATATATAAAATATTAAATTATATTAATAAGATTTTTTATTATTTAGAAAGATTTATACAATATTAAAATTAATTTAGACTTATTTTAGCTAGAAAATATAGCTTTTTAAATATTAGGTTTACTACGTTAGTTACGTGTTTATTTTTTTTAACCGTTACCTTTTGGTACACACTGTACTACGATTCCCCCCTACACCTGTCTTTTGGCGTCGCGCCCGGCCTGATAGGCGCTAGCAGCATGGAGCGGAAGTACCGAAAGCACTGAATATTGATGGGCTCTGAATCGCCCTCCCCGAGCAGCCGTACCGTAATTCATCACTTCGCCAGTTGCTGAGCGGCATAACTTGTCCCTCGCCGAGGCACATAAAATAAATTTTGCATCCCATCCATCTTCGTCTCGATTTGCTTGTGCTGTCTACAATTTTAGGATTTTCTGCTCCCTCCCTTCCTCCTCTCTCCTCTTCTTACGCACCGACGGGCATCAGCTCGTATATACTCTACACACCCACAGGGACGTCGCCTACAGTTCCTCCTCTCTGTCGCCACGAGTAGGCTGAGTACCATGGAGAACAACTTAACTGAAGATGTCTTTCTTCAAGAGGGCCTCTGCCCGACCATTGCAGAGCACGCAGCCCAGTGCAGCTCTCTTTTCCAGAGGAAAATGGCCATGACAGATATCGTACCGGATCCTACGATAGTGGATGACCAGTTGGCACGCTTCACACTCTGGGCGAACAACATGGATGTCTATGGACCACTCAATGTTTCGCTGGACTACAGACTCCGATACAGTCCCACAGTTGTTCAGATTTTACATCAGCTCCTGGACGTTATCTGTGAGACTTTAGATTCTTGTGAGTGTCTGTCGTTGCATGATTTTGGAATGGGCTGTAGGCCAAAAATTTATGCTGATGGGGATCTTCGACAAAAGTGCAACCAGTCGATGAACACCGACCACCGAGTCCGAAACGGAGAAGGAAAAAACAGCGCATAGGTGAAAACACAGATTCCGAAGTCGCAAGAAGAACCGATTACTATGATTCAAGCGACTCGGATAGTGAGCTGGATCACGCAGAAGAGAATATTTCGAAAATCACAATCACAATCCACGGCACCGTGACACGACTCTTCCGTCTCTCTAATGCCGTTCGAAAGTCCGCAAAAGCCAACCGGGCTCGCAAAATCGAACGATACATTGACGATGAAGAAGCAAATACCGCTATAGCTGAGTTACGTCTCTACACAGAATGCTACATTCGCTTCCGGTTTCCCGAGGCGCCTGATTCACTTCGCAAAGTATTAGTCAAAGCGAATGAGCTGCGACTTCGACGGCTGTATTATCAGCGATCCCACCGACGGCGCATTGACTTGAGTATTCAGAATCCACAATTCACCCAAGCTGTTCGTCCACAACTACCCAAGATGAAGGAGGCGCCGCGTCAGGCTGTGAGTTTTGCTGCGGGCGTATTCCAAAAGCCTGAGAGGAGCAATAAACCATCCGGAACAGCCGATTTTGTACCAGCGCCAGCGACGAATGCGACGACGGCTCGACAGACTGCTGTTGGCGCTTTCTACGCGAAGTCTACAACGGAGGTCCCTCGGGCTAAATCTATTGTGGTGAACAATAAACTATCGTTCCCGCCAATACCGTCGTCACCAGAATGCCCGTACTGTGGCGTTATTATCGAGCTTGAGACCAGTTCAAGGTCAACGTTGTGGCAGTAAGCTGAGCACACTTGGTTAACGATTTCATTTCTGACCTAACGTGCTTCAGAAATCACGTAATCGGAGACTTGGAGCCCTTTATTTGTGTCTTTCCACACTGCTTGGAAGGAAAGCATGAGTCGATCGCTCCGCCAACATTCGAAACGTCAAAAACTTGGATCAGCCACATGCAAAACGCTCACGGGCATGCATGGGAGTGTAGAGCCCCTTCTCACGCTCCAATAATGTTCAAGGAGGAAATTCAGTACCAAGAGCATTCGATCAGAGAGCACGGCGTGCCTGAAACTCATGCCGGGATTCTCAGCAGCGCCGCACGAAGGCCGATTCTCGATAAGATGCTGCAATGCCCCTTTAATGATGATTTCCAGCCCCCAGAGAAAGTCGAGTCGAGTCTCGTCTTTGCGAGCGAAGCTCTGCAGTCACACATTGCCGGTCATTTAAAAGAAATTGCTTTGCTTACATTACAAAAGCTGCCGAGCGATGAGGACGAGAACACTGTGAACTTTGATAGCGACCAACCATTAGTTAATGAGGTTGGGCCTGGGTTAGTACAGTTCCGTGGATCCATGTACAGTGTACTGGACGACGACGAAGATCTCGTTTTCCGAGACGACGATTGCGATGCTGAGGCAGTGAATGTCGATATGGATATCGAAGCTGAAGGTCTTAATTCATCAGTAAGAAGACTTGACTTGGAGGATAAAAACGAGGCAGGAATGACAACGCTTCACCACGCCGTGCAGACCGGCGATCTCCAGTTGGCTGAGTCTTTGATTCAGGGCGGCGCAAACTTGAGAAGCAGAGACAAAAGCGGCAGAACGATATTCCACTACGTCTTCGTGGAACAGTCTTTTTACCCTGCTATCATAGATCTTTTGCTCAGCGCCGGCGATAGATCGATTATGAATCTCTGCGACGACAACGGTCAAACAGCTTTGCATTATGCTGCACAGGTGGGCAACACTGAAGGCATAAAAATTCTGACCGACAACGGCGTTGACGCTGATTCCATTGACAACTATGGATTTACTCCTCTCCTCTGGGCTGTGGTTGCTGGCAAGACCGAGGCCACTGAGAAACTTTTGTCCCTAGGCGCTGGGAGCCCTGACTCAGCTAGTCCGGATGGAAAGTCTGCGCTGGCTTGGGCAGTCGGTCTGAGTTATATAAATATTGCTCAATTGCTTCTGGACCGCGGTGCCAATCTGTCGAGGACGCTGAAGGGGCCAATGATGATGCCTTTAGACGAAGCTGCTGCTGCAGGCAACCACTTCATCGTACATTTGCTCCTCGAAAAGGGCGCAAATCCAAATTCTTGTGATCGAAATGGCTGGTCTGCCATACATTGGGCAGCGGAAGAGGGCCATCTGGAAGTTGTGCGCTTATTGTTGGAAGCAGGGGCCAACGTCAATGCTGTGAGCTCATATGGCACGTCAGCGCTGCATTGTGCTGCCAATGGAGGGCATGCTATTATCGTGAAGCTGCTTCTTTCACGACGCGCGGACGCGCTCAAGGCAAACTGTCACGGGTGGACTGCACTACATCATGCAGCCTACATGGGCCATTTTCAAGTTACCCAGTGTCTTCTGGAAGACGAGCGCATGAAAATGAATGCCTCTTATCAGGACAATCATGGCTGGTCCGTTCTTCATCTGGCTGTTCATAATCGAGATCTGGCTACCATCAAGGTCCTGCTCGGCAGCGCTGCTATTGAAGAGCCTCGGGGCTTGTTTGATGAGAGTGGCCTTACACCAGAAGAATGGCTTGATCTTCGGCCATCAAGCCGTAACTATAAAGCTATCTGTAACTTGGCTTTTGGCAAGTCACGCTGTTGCAGAGCCGTCACAGGTTTACGACGAGCTGTGACGATAAAACAGGCCGTAACCACAGGCAACATCCCTATGATCAATCTCTTCCTAAGCTTGGGCCATGATGTAAACGGCATGAATTCTGGAAGAAGGACGGCGCTCTACTACGCTGCAAAGAAGCGTATGCTTCCCATCATGAACCTGCTTCTTGAGCATGGTGCGGATCCCAATATCCTCCCAGCGGGACGCAAAGCCTGGAAAGAATTTATCTCAGATGATGATGTTATACAACTACTTAAACAAGCCGGGTACAGGCAGCGAGATCCTGACCGTGAGACAGCGCGCCAGATCAGGCTTGAATTCGGTTCCCGAGATCAAGGATTCCCTGATCCTGATCGCTCAGTTACATTTGCAATGGAAGACTCCACACTCTCACCAAAGTCGGAACGATCTTCCTTCCCCACACCGCAAGACATGTCAAACATGTCAAGCTCGGCTCTGTCATCAAGACAGGCATCTCTCCCAAATGACTCGGCTTCAAATATACCAACACAGTCAATGGCAGCGCCCACGCAACAAACAAAGAGCCAGAATAAGCGCAAAGCGGACTCATTAGCCCGGCCAGGAGGAGTACTGAAATTTTGGAAGCGGCTGACAAAAAAAGGCTAAGAAGATGAGCCTGAGCATGACCCGAGATCCCAACTTGGTATGTCTATCCAGTAGATCAGGGCTTTTAGATCTGAGTTACTACCTTTTGTAAAGTCTCTGAAGGTGAAGTGAAGTCATGCACGTATATGCCCACGAGTATGGAGGTACACTATAGTATTCAAAAATATAAAGCATTCTTAAAATTTCGAGATGCTGGTGAGTAGTTTGCTCTTAAACCTAGCCTTCGCATTTACGTGACAGCATGGGGAAAAACCCACAGTAGCAAGGAAAATCCTCTAAACACCAGGACGAGCGGCGACCTTCTAGCCTAGGTAGCGCTGTTGGAGAAAGTTGGCATTTATAACGAAGGAGAGAATAGTCACGACCTTGATGCACCGCGTAATCAAGCTGCCAGCTGCCGTACCGAGTAAATTGCCTAATTTAGAAAGAATCTGCTTATCAGAAGACATAATAATCTTCTTTTATAAAGCTCTATAGTTACTCTAGATCTATATTAATAAGTCCCTACTATACTCTATACATTATTTATAAAACCTCTAGATAACCTCTATAAAGCCTATAGTTAATACTTATACCTAATAAATGTTTTTATATAAAGTAAAAAGGTTATATAATATAATAATTCCTATGTTCTTAGTTCTTCTAAATTGTTATTATTTTAAAGTATAAAATAACTAATTACTACTTTAGATATAGGCTAAATTAAAACTTATATTACTATTAGTAGCTTTAAATATATATTAGTTAAATATTATTATTTTTTAGTATTTATATTATAAGATATAAATATACTAATAAGTTATAGACTTTAAGTATAGCTAATAGTAATAAGAGTCTTTCCTAGATTTTTTTATAATATTAGATTTCTTAATATATTTAGTATTTTTTAGGACTACTATAAATTATATTAATTAAGTAATTAATCTAGTTTTAATATTTTATAGATTAGTTCTTTTTTTACTTTTATACTCTTTTCTAGTACTTATATTACTAGTATTTTAGTAGATTATATTAGACTAACGGTATATAACCCTCCTATGTGCCTACCTCTAAGACTAATAATAGAGACGGTTAAAGTAAGTCTAACACTAGGTACTTCTTATATTTAGCAGCATAGTAATGCTTCTAGCCGTCTTTATAACTTCGCTTTGCTAGTAGTATCATTAATTCTTTCTCGCGTAAGCCGTCCTTCTAGGCGTTAGCATGTGTATTGGAACAACGACCATGAGAAATGGCTTCACCATGACAACACAAGATTTGAATGAATACGGCCCTGGAAATTTTCAGCACAGGCACAAGTGCTGTTTTTTCCCGGTTCAGATTGGACTGCGCCAAGCGGCGACAAGTACGGGCTTTGTCTCCAACTTACGTCGCACTGCCATGTATCAACACCGAGCCAAAGCAAATTTAGAGAAGCCCAGCTGCTTTGACACTGCAAATAAAGGAGCACACCATTCATCCTCTTTCTTGGCTTACTAGCTACATTTACCACCGCAGGAGCATTGTAGGCTAGTCTGTCAAGTATTGCTCCTATGCCGCTTATTCGTACACATAATAAACCTACTGACGATTCCAATTTTCCATCTAGACCATATCCAGTACCTGAGCGCTTTCTTCTGAACCATTACCTCTTCTCAACTGTTAGCTTCGAATATCGCCGCTGTTTTTTTTTCGTTCAAGCTGGTACACGTGCCACGCCCCCCACCACTTCGTGGTTGGGTGCTGGAGGGCTAGGTGGCCACCGTAGCCACGTAGACACCACCAATCTACTAATAAACTATTATAGTAGATATTAAGTCTACTAATTTATTATATAAAACTAAAAAAATATACTTAAATTTCTAAGTAAATCTATATTCTTAATATAAAAATCTAAAATATTTATATAATTAATTAGAAAAAAATATATAAAAAAAAGGGATATTGAAATTATTAAAACAGTACTTTTTAATTTTATTAAATCTAGTAAAATATTTAAAAATAAAATAAAAGATGGTATTCTTATTTAAAGAGATTTCTCTTAATACGTATTTTTTATATATTTTTATATTACTTATATAATATATAAAAAATATTTTTAGTAAAAAATGTTTCAATTTTTAATTATACTTTTTAAAATCTAATAATATTATATAAAAGCTGACTTTTAGCTTCTTATTTAAGAAAGTAGCTTATATATCTAGAAACACTTAGATTATATTTTTAGTATTTTAAGTAGCTTTTATATTTAGGAAATACGTTTATGACCACGTGGCTATGGTAGCCACCTAACCCTGCAGCACCCAACCACGAAGTGGTGGGGGCGTGGCACGTGTACCTAAGTAGCTCGTCCATCACGACCGGCCCGCCGGCCCCAGTCTACCATCCGACCTCCTTGGCGCATTTGCCGCAATAATATAGGTTGAACCCAATCTTGCAAAGCTGGAAGTCTCGTGGGTCATCTGTCGACATGGCCTCTGCGTGCTTTCGACATTCAAGGCAGATAATATTGAGGCTGCCGAGTCGAAGGGCAGGAAGTCACGTCTAATGGCGCTCGATTTGTCGTTCCAAAATGCGACACAAAAGCAGGCCAATAGGGAGAGTTACGACGTAAGAGAAAAGCTCCGCTGTGCAATTGACCGTGACGCTTTCTATCAAGCACAGATCCAGCTTGTTTCTCGCCGCCGAATGGCATTCAATTGCGTCGAATGAGCTGAGTATCAAGCACTCCCCATGTCTATTAACCCAGAAGTCGAAAGCCTCCTGATCGAATCGCATTCAAGCATCCCGATCCGTGTTGAACGCAGCTTCCGCAAGCACCATGCAACGGTCAAGAGTCGGCTACAAATCGCAAATCATTCCTCCTATCTGCGCTCAATTTGTCGATAGTGAATACGTCCTTCGAAAGGCGCTTTCGGCACTTCCACAATGTCGCTTATCACCTTCAGGAGAGACCATGGCAGCTCATATGCTTGAGGTGATTAAAGCCTATGAGATTGCCGAGAAGACTGGGTGTATTGTTAGGGGTAATGCCTCTAGTAACGACACCTGTGTTGCGGCTATTGGGACAGAGCTTAATTAATTGGGCATTGAATTTGATGAGAGGAAGCGCCGTATTCGTTGTTGCGGCCACATCATCAATCTTTCGCTGGAGGCCTTTCTTCTTGCAACTACCGTCGAAGCACTGCAAGCCGCAATTGATGCAGCAACGAAAGAGGCAGATCTGACTGTCGTTGAAGCACTGCAGGAGCAGCTTCGAGAGAAGCAGGGCAGAAAAGGCAAGAAGAAACGTCAAGCGAACGAAGCTGGATAGCGTTCAGCCGGTGCTCTTGGTAAGCTCCATACTATAGCCGTCTTCATCCGATCTCTTTCTCCTTTATTTACGTCCCTAATGGTCTAGAAAATAATATCTTTATAATATAATACTTTATATAGGTAAATAATCTCTTTATCCTTATCTAATTCTATTATAATAGTTAGCTAGTAGGGGTCTAGTTTAGAAGGAAGTATTTTAATATCTTTATTACTAATATCACTATACTTAATATTAGTTATATAATCTTTATTACTGTTACTATATCTTAATAACGCTACTTTATAGCCTTCTAAAGAGTCTTTATAATATTATAGTAAATTATTATAACTAAAGAAGGAAAATAAAAGACTATTAAATAGAATATATTATTAGATAGGTCTAGGCTAGGCAAGCTACTTTTATATAAAGAAAGTAGGTAGAGTAGGGTGTATATATAATAGTGTAGAAGGGGTATAAGTTATACCTACTGAAAATAGTAGCCGCCCTACCAGTCTTTCCTACTAAGGGCGGCGACGTTTATCGCTAGATTTAGTAGCCTAAACCGGCGCACTTAGCTTTATTCTACAATAATATTAGATATTATAGTAGTTCTTAGGTTAAGTATATATCTATTTAAAGGGGTATAAAGTAATTATAGGTACTTTAATATAGAAATTAAAGAAATTTTAGTCTTACTACTAAATAAAACTCTATATAATACTAGGTAATAATAAAGCTTAATTGATTCCTTGAATTTAATATAATAATAATTTCTCCAAGTTCGCTGTAGCATATAGCTAAATTATAACTAACCATATCTATCCTAAAATGCTACCCTACAGACGGCAGTGGAATGATCCGCAGAGCGACCTGTGCACCGCCGCCGTGGGAAGCACTGTAGCAGCATTCCAGCGCTCCTGTAGCACCGTGTTATGAGACTCGTGGTAAAGCTCCTGGGTGCCTACTGCGCCTGCAGCGCCGCATTCGTCGGCCATGGTTGCACAACTGTTGTGCACTAGTACTGCTCACTTATGCAGACTTCCATACTCCAACTTTCTTCATTGCGTCACGACGTACTCACAACTCTCTGTCATCACAATCAACCCCCAATCGCAGCCTCCATCGAATCCCACCGACGGACCATCAGCACTCCCAGCTTCTACAGCTCCCCCGTCGTCATTATGCTGGCGGACGCGGGTCTCATCCAGACCAGCCTGATCTGGGTGGCCTACGCCTGCGCCGTCGCCTTTTGCCTGATCGCGGCCATCATCACCACCTTTACGTGGCAGACGCCGCGCGAGCGCTCCGCCGTCGTCAGCGCAGTCGCCGTCGTCAGCCTGACGGCGCTGCTCGCCACTGTCCTCCTACTGCCCGTCGACATCGCCCTCGTCTCCGCCACAGGGTCCGCGCGGCTCGGCGTCAAGAAGCACTGGGCCACGCCGGAGCGCGTTGCTGACATTCTCCTCTCACTCAAGGTCCTCTACTATACCCTCTATAGCGTCGATGCCCTCCTCTGCCTACTGCTCATCCCGTTTGCTTACTTCTGGTACGAAGAGTACGACGAGATTGAGTTTGAGGAGGAGGGCCGCACCTGGCGCTCGCGGCTCTGGGCCGCCACCAAGTACACCCTCTTCTTTGTCGCCCTCGTCGTCGCCCTCTTCCTCATTGGCTTCTTTGTGCCCGCCGCCGGCGGCCGCGGCGGCGGTCCCGGCAAAGACTGGGCCAACCTGGCGTCCTCCTACCTCGACAGCCTCGTCTCGCAGAGCAACGGCGAAAAGGCGCTGACGTTTGCGCTCGGCCTTCTCGTCACCCTCGGCACCCTCCTCTACGTTGTCTACACCGGCGCCGGTCTCGCTCTTATGCCCATTTCCTTCATCAAGTCGGCGCCCAGCATCTCGGCGCCGCAGCTCTCCGCCACGACGGCCTCGCAGCTCGCGCAGAACCGCGAGCGCCAGCGCCAACTCGAGATGCGCTACGCCGGCCGCCACGACGATAGCATGACGCGCAAGGACCGCCGCGAGCTCGACGCCCTCGTCCGCGAGGAGCAGACGCTCGTGCGCCGTGAGCGCCTTGCTGCCGAGGCGCAGGGTGAGGGCCATAGCCGCCTCTACCACGCCTGGCTGCAGGTCTGTGCCTTTTTTCGCCCCGTCAAGATGATTGGCGGCATCCTCCTTCTGCTCCTCTCTGTCCTCGTCGCCATCTCCATGCTCATCACCGGTATCGACAAGGCCACCCACTCGGTCTGCAAGCAGCGCTGCGGCTACGTCCTAGATCGCATCCGCGTCTTTCAGCCCATTAATTGGATCTTTGTCCAGACGGCGCGCGTCTTCCCCATCGACTACGTTCTCATGGCCCTGCTCGTCCTGCACCTCTTCAGCAGCTCCATTTCAGGCATCGCCTCCGTCGGCATCCGCTTTCTCTGGATCCGGATCTTCCAGATCCGCCGCGGCCGCACCGCGCCCCAGGCCCTCCTCATCGCCACTGTCATGCTCGGCCTCATCACCCTCGCCGTCAACTACGCCGTCGCCATGTTCGTCGCGCCTCAGTACAGCGTATTCGGCACGCAGACCTTTTGCAGCCTCGAGCCCCCCGCCCCCGGCATGTCTCCCGACTGCCGCGCCAACCCCGACAAGGTCCTCCCCTGCGCCCACTCGCTCGAGCACCCCTTTGCCGCCCGCGCCTGCACACCCTCCGTCATGTCCACCTTTCTCAATCGCATCACCACCACATGGCCCTTTTTCGGCATCGTCACATTTTGGGGTCAGTTTGTCTTTCTCGCCGTCTTTCTTGTCGTCGTCGTCACCGCCCTTTTCCGCGCGCCCCGCGTCAATCTCACCGAGCTCGACGAGGACGCCGAGGAGGATGAGGAAGAGAGCTTGCTGGCGGCCACCGGCCGGCGCTTTGCCGCAAGCTGGGAGGATGCGCGCGGCAACATTAGCAACAACCGCAATAGCCGCAACTATGGTACATCCCACGCTTGAAAAGGCGGGAAATTTTCTCTTCTCCCCGTGTGTTACTACACATCACGATTTAACAAGTTTTTGCATCATTAATTGGACTGAAAAAAAGGAGGGGTAGGACGGAACAGAACACACAGCTGGGTATACGAGGATAACGGAGCATGCGTTTTTTTTCTTCTTTTTTATATGGAGTTTCAGAGGAGTTGGTAGGAGTTTGTTGTATTTTCTTCTTGTGTTTCCTGCTCTTGTTTCGAGCCAGGATTATAGGTAGGTCTCTTGCAGATAGGAATTTTTGCTTTGAAAGTTGCAATTGTAACACTGCTTCAAGACTTATCATGCAGCCCTCGAACCTGTGATACAAGTCATACATGAATGATTACGTCAAGACCTCACATTGTCGTTCGACATCATGACATGGAAAAGTTGTATTGTCATCCTTGGGCTGATTCCCATCTGGCTATACTCCATGCAGCATGACATATTTTCCTAAATCGGCGTTACACTGTCGCCATTGTCCCATATCTGGGTACTCCATTTCCATCTATCCTTGCCAAACATAAGACCCTCTGAGAGAACATGACAAGAAAAAAAAAAAGAGAAAAGCCAATGCAAAAAATAAAGCGACAGGACCGAGTCGAGAGAATCGTTCTCAGAGACGGTAAACAATGAACAAAAGCAGGGCGTGTAAACCAAATCGAAAAAGAAGTCGGTATCTATAGCGTATACGACAGATGAAAAATGGGGTCAGTACAAAACAAGATAGATGTATACGAAAAAAAGAAATCGTCGGCATCCATCAAGAAGCCTTCGTCCACAGCATGTACATAAGCGTCGTCCGAATGGCGCGAATGGGTATCAGTAAAAATGCTGCAACTAAAAGACAAAGAAAAAAAAAGCAAAGGAAGAGACAACGCAAAAGTCTTGTTCGAAACAAGAGTCAAGGTCATCATTCCCCCGCGGGTGTGCTTTGCTCACAAGTCAAAGCAATTCAAAATCGGCCGTTATTCAACTTTGACTCGTTTGGGCTCTGCTGCGGGCCCGTTGCTGCTTGCACTCGACGTCGCCGAACCTTCGCTCTTTCGCTTCAACGGTTCTCGCGACTTGAGGCTGTCAAGCGCACCAGCTGTCGCCGTTGCGGACGATGCCATCATCGGGGCCGATGATGCGGCCATCTGGCTCTGATCCTGGGTCAAGAAGCTGGGGCCGGATCCCACGACGGGTGTCGAAAAATTGAGCGGGCTGGGAAGCGTATTGCTGTCGCTAGCCTTGTAATTCCATTCGGGATAGAAGCTGCTCGGGCTGGGCAAGAATTCCCCGTTGAGGTACCTCGATGGCAGCGCAGATTGCGGTGTTTCGTTCTTGTTGGGATTGCTGTTGCCTATTCCAGTGTTGCCCATTCCAGTGTTGCCTATTCCTTGGGGATTGACCGGCGGTCTCGCGAATGGGTTCGGCGGCCCGGTAGCTCCTGCAGACAACAGCGCGGAAGCAGATGGGGAGGGCGGTGGTAACACGATGGAGCCATGCCGCCTTTGCGTGTGCGTCGGAGTATCTGCAGGATTGCGTGGCGAGCTGGATTCTCCAGTGACAGCACTTCCACTTTGCTCGGAGCCTCCATCCGGGATCTGCACGGTGAGCTTGGGACCGCGCGGTCTGGCGGACAACGGACCCGCGGTGATGCTGTTCGTTCGAGACGGCGGCGCAAAGGCGGCGTCGGGTAGTGAAACGTTTCGTGATTTGTCCATGGAGCTATGCGAGCGTGGTAGTGGAGGCGACGTCCGTGATGGGGCGCCAGCATCAACGGACTGAGAACGGCTGGAAGGCTCTTCTTTGATGGTCGATTCGTCAGTGCTGAACAATCTGGAATGTTGCCCCAAAATAGATCGGTTCTCTTCTACGGGCGTAAAAATACTGTGCGATCTCCGTGCAGGAAGCTTCTTGATAGCGGCATCTGTGTTGAGTAGAGGCGGGTGGCGGGCGTCAATGTCGGGAGCTGCATCTCTAAAGGACGGTGGTTGGAGATCCATGGAACGACGATCTGGCGGCAGAGGTGGGTGTGGCATGGCCGTGGGCTGCTGAATGTCGGGACGTGGTGGCATAGACATGGGCTGAGGCGGTGGTTGAGAGGCGTATCCGGGTTGAGGCTGCTGAGGTGGCGGTTGAGACGTGTATCCGGGTTGAGGCTGCTGTGGTGGTTGAGGCGCGTATCCAGGTTGAGGCTGCTGCGGATGCGGTTGAGGCGGGCGACGATCGTCGGCATAGGCTTGGGGAGGCGGTGGTTGATGGGCATGCTGTTGCTGCTGAGGATAATACTGGGCACCGTGAGCATGCATCATGGGCTGCGAGGGAGCAGCAGGACCATTGTAAATGGGAGGCGCGGGTATGTATGTGATGCCATGATGGGAGCCGGGATGATTGCCAGGAGCGGGCGGAGGAACCATGGTCGAGGGTATGCGACGGCCATCGTTTCTCGAATCGGGGCGTCCCATGGGCGGATGTGGCGAGTGACCGCGGGGAGGAAGCTGATGAGTGTGATGACCTGGGAAAGGCGCGCCATTGGAAACTGGGGGAGAAGCTGTAGGAGTGTGGTGACGTATTTGCGGCGGGAAATGGGCATGTTGAGGGTGAAATTGGGGAGGCATCATCTGGGCCTCTTCGTGACCTCGGGGAGGTGTTGCGTCGGGGTCGTCGTCGTCGTCTCCATCGTCTCCGCCAGCAAAGTCGTTTGGACCTTTGTGTTCGTTGGGACCGCCATGCTTGAGGGTTGTTAGTCGCATGCAAATGACGGACAAGGCAAGGAAGCTGACTCACAAATTGGTGACGAGTAATGAGATCGTGCATGTCAGCAGAGGAGTACTCATAGAGCTTCTTGTTGTTGCCAAAGATGAAGACTGCGACGTCGACAGAGCAGAGAACAGAGAGCTCGTGGGCCTTTTTGAAGAGACCGCCTTTGCGCTTCAGAAACGTACTATATGTGAAGCATGTTGGTTAGAAGACGTGTGTTGGGTGAAAGACTTGTGGCAGACGCCAGCGTGGAAAACATACACTGAGCGATTGCGATCATCCTTGATGGCCTTGATCTCGATTTTTCTGCGACCCATGGTGACTGGATTGTATGTGAATCAACAAGCGGGAGTGATGGCGGCAGAAACCCGGAGAGAGCAGGGCTACGCGCCGAGTTTAAGTGTAATGTTGGCCGTGTCGCAGCGGGAACAAACGGGCGTGGAGAAGGTTGACGGGTGGACAAGCTCAAGCCTTGAGGAGCCGTGTGCATTCGTCGGTGCACGGAATCAGGCGCATCCGCAGTGGCAGCGATGACGGGTCGAACAAGTCGCAGAGCGGTGGGCGGGTTGAGGAGAAGTGGTCGAGGTTGCAAGCCGGGGGGTAGGGAGGCAAACGGCCGCACGAGGGAGTGGACCTATGGGGGAGTCGCAAGGCTGGGGCGGCGAAGGCGCGGAGCTGCGGCGAGTTGGCGGGCTGCAGGACGGCGGAGAGCAGATGACGGATAGAGGCAGGATGCTGCGTGCGATGGGTAGCGTTGATGGAGGAGCGGACGACGACGAGGGGAAGATCGAGGACGAGGAGAGGGAGTCGCTCGCAGGGCATGTAACAGCGAGGGGCTCGTGGCGGGCGCAAACAAGCAAAAGGCGGCGGCGCTAAAGAGAGAAGGACGACTTCAACGGTTCAGAGGCAAAGGAAGCCAGAAACGACGACGGGAAAACGGGCGAAGAAACGGACGAAGCTATCACAGTTGGTCGAATAGGAAGCCTGGCCTGGTCGTGCAGGATGATGGGGCTGGATCTGGCGTTGGAGGGTTCTAATAATAGACCATGATCGTGTTCAGTTCATGGGAGGAGGTTTAAAAAAAAAAAAAAAAGAACAAGTTAGGATGGGGGTGGTGGGCGGGAAGGGGGAGTTACTGGTACTGGGCAGTTGGAGTCTTGGAGAGGGTACCTAGGCAAAGGTAACATTATTTTACGGGTCTCTCCTGCTAACTGCTTAGCGGGGGGTGGTCCAACCCTTTTTAGAGAGAAACGCCTGTCTGTCTGTGCTGCTGTGGGATAGGTAGTCTCGGCTGAGCTGGGGCTACCTTAGTGATAAATTATAATGGGTCTGCAAGGGTGGAAGCTGCAAGTTATGCACAAATGCCAGCCATAACTAATACGTTACTCTGTGAAGAGCAAGTATACCTAAGCTTGAAGACTATTTACACAGGGCCAGCAGACAATGGGTGAGCGAAAAAGTAGGTAGTTAGCCAGTAAATAAATTTTTCTGAGGACAAACGCAGCAGGTACGTGGACATGTACCTACCTACCTACCTTGCGACGCACATGCACCTCAAGAGAATGAATGTACGGAGGACCTTAAGACGTACCTACCCCTTGCCCTTGCCAGCTTGCTGGTTTCCTCTAGCCTCTATTTAGGGCATATTAGTGGGCCAATGGTCAGTGGGCTAGTGGTCCCAACTCCAACGTTTATACTGCGGAATATTCAGAAGAATAATCAATCTGGCTTCGCGCGCAGGAATAAATCGCAGGGTGATACAAATATTCGGCAGACACTCCAATGGGGGGACTCCAAGCAAAATCTTGCCCTAAAATTATGACTCTACTTTGCCTGGTAGGCACCCATCTGTCCGTTATCCGTACCGGTATCCGACTCATTCACCAACATGTCATGTCATGTTTTATCCCTTCCGCTAGGCAACTACCAGACTGCCTGCCCGGTTCTTCTATTCCCTGTACTCTCTCTTTTTTCTCGCGCTCTTCTCTCCCTCTTTGCCCGCGTCACACAAACCTGGAAATAACATGAACAAAAGCGCCACCATAAAACAGGGAGGGGGGGGCTCACCCCGCTATAAAGGGCCAGGCAGACCAACTAGACTGCCCTAGCAAGCGCCCGAGGCCAACGAGCCGCAAGTGCCTCTCAGCCACAAATAACCCCATCACAGACTTGTCAAGACTATTCATAGACTGCAGAGAGATCAAGAGATCAGACAAGAGACGGGACGACAGCAAGTGACTTGCTTGGCCTCAATAATAAGCTGGAAATGGGGAGATAGCTGTGTCGTTGTTACACTATCGCCTACCCTGGCACTAACGCATACCACTCGCTCGGCTTAATCTTCCAACTTGCATCAACTTCTTTTATTATTAATTTACTCATTCTCACTCCACACCCCTCCTTTGTCGTCCGAGACATGCACAAGATCAACAGAGCAACGGCTAGATAGTATTCCTTTTCTGACAGCGCTTTTCTCTCTGGGCCTTTTGGTTGTCCCGTCCACTTGTGTAATCTCCAATGCGGCTTTCCACAGCTCACAGCTCCCCATCTGCGCCTTTATTAAAGTGGAGGTTCAAGCTTGAAATCAATTTTCAGGCATGAAAAGCAATAATTTCCTTCTTGTCCAAGTATTGGACGTAACACGTGCAGCCAGCAATCGACTTTTCAACAGACTACTCGCATTCTTTCCCTCAATTCACTGAAACTCTTCTCGCGCGGCATGATGCCGACGTGACACAGCCGCCGTTGCAAAAATAATAAATAACTAAATATGTAAATAAATGAATAAATCATCCTATCCCTCTCGCTGCCCTTTTCTCCATCTCTCCGCCACAAGCCCAGGTTCATGACGTGCGGACCTCTGCAAATCCCAGCAATAGCTCAACCAATATTTTATCCATAATTACACAGTATTACACTCATCCGCACATATGGGAGCCCTGCGATGGCTCAGCTGCAAAACTACGATAATCGGGGCTGTGTTGGCTTTCCTGCTAGGCCCAACAAGTAATTACTGGTCTATTTATTTACCGAATTCACGCCGTTCTTTCAACGTGTACCGCCACCTCAACCCGCGTTGGTCCATCTTTCACTGCCGCAATCGCGCGCGGCTCGCGCAAAATTATTCAATTCGGCCCGTGAGCTTGCGACGGCGTTTGACGTAAGAAAGATGGACGAGGATCAAGCATTATAGGCTGCCCATTGGATCCGTAGACGTTCTTCTTTCTTTGGCATAGGTAGGGTGTTCGCGACCACACGGTTGCGATAATAACTACTTGGTTATCAGGGGTTTGGGTCCATCATACGCCAACCCTACCGCCACCGGCTGCTGCTGTTGGACAACGTGCCAGGAAGAAAAAAAATAAAAAATAAAGAAAAGGGCGCCACGACTCGGACTCTGACTTCTCAGGGTTCTGCTTCTCGTCTCTCAAAATGGAAGCTCCGCAATAAACGGGCGTTGGCCAAAACGTTGTTTCGACGGTTGTCCATCTATCTCCGCAATTGCGTGTATCGAGTTGGGCGGCATAAACTGCTCTTCTCCGTGCTGTTTCCTGTCTCCTGTTTCCTGAACAAAAATGCGCCCGTAATGCACCGCCAGTAATTATATCGCCGTTTCTTGCCCCTCCCTTTGTTTCTGTTTTGCCCTCTGCTCATCTCTCCCTTGCCAACGTAACGTGTCTGGTCTCGCTTAACCTATCATCTGGCTAGCAAAAAGTCGTGTTACATGTTACTTGGTCATGACATGTCGCACTAGTTAGCCACTGGGACGAGATTAGGAACCACATGGGAGAGGGCGGGCAGGGGTTGTCTAATCTATCTGCTCGAGATCTTTCTGCTAGCTCGTTTCGAAAAGTCGCATCATCAACATCACCGTCATGCTCATCCTCCTCTTTTAGCTTTTTCCGTCTTGGAGAATTTTGTGCGTCCTCCAAGATCAAAGATGCCTCCACATGAAGCGCATCTTCTTGATCAACGAATCTGCCCGTAGCATTGCACTCCAGCTCGGCTATTGTTAGCCCGAAGCAGCGCCACGACAAGATTGTCCGTTCATTCAGGGCCGTCGGGGGCTAGCAGCCACGGCAGTCGCTCTTATTAGCAACTTGCAATTCTAAATGATACAATGTGCAAGAAGATGATGCATGCATAATGCAATGATACTCAATGCAATGAAACTATTCTGTGTAGTATACACATGCAAAGCAAATGACGGCAGCTGTCAAAAGCTGATCAGCACGCGACGCTATTGAGGCGCCCATACTGCAGGCAACTCGTCCCTCGGACTCGAGCATGCTTCCCCAGGTGCCCTGTCAACTGTCTTTCCAGCCCCAAAACACTCTAACCAGCCAGCCAGTTGCCGAGTTGCTACCGACTTAGCCGTAGTTTCTGGATCCCGACCTGTCAGGTTACCTGCATGCAGATTAGAGATTGACATCCCGTTCGCCCTGCGTGTTGCCTTTGCCCCCTCTCTCCCGCATATACAGATGCAGCAAGCGCACATGGCGACAGACATTGTTCTTTTATTTTTTCTCTTCTATTTCTAACAATAGAAACGCGGCGGCGGGGAGAGCAGGGGTAAAAAAGGGTTTTGCCCCGCATCCAAGGTTCGCGGTGACAGTGGCTGCTTTGTTTCGTCGTCGTGGGCGAGCTCCGGCGCGCTAAAAGATTGAAGAGTCCATCGATTGTAATCAAGTCGAAACCAATACTAGTTTGTCGAGAGAAACGTGCCCCATCTCATAATGCGGCCTCTTATCTGCCTTATAAGCTGCTGTCGTCAGCAACACGTAAAAATCCCGAGGGATCAAAAGCTATCGGTACATGGCACTTTCGAGTATTGCCCGTCAAGCACATTTTTTTATCAAGCGCCGGGGTTGCTGTAGATGTTGCGCAAACCAATCCCATTCCCCCCACCTCCCCCATCACATCCCAGCAATTCCCAACGCAGCAAGCCGAAGCTCGCCGAACCGCCGCGGCGCCTCGCTTTCGTCATCTCACATGAGGCATTCAGTGACTGATAATCTCCAAAACTAATGTTTCTTCCCTCTTCAAGGGGGCGTGCATGAATACATCACCAGCCTTTTTCCCCCCATTTTTGTTTAGTTTTTTTCCGGGGCGCGATACCCGGGGTACGTGTGGCTGCACGCGGCGCAGGTTTCTAAAAATAAAGCACACACACACACACACGCAACGGGGCGGAGCGTCATCAATCGAACTACAGCAGCCCACCGCAACAACAACTTTGCGCTAGTTACTCTCCATCATCACTCACTTTTTTCCCCTCCTCTCCCAACTATTGTATGTTGGCCTCATTGTTTGACATTCCACTCGACACGTGGCTTTTTGCCAAAATCTAGGTTCAACCAGCCAGCACAGCCCGCCTCTGCCTCTCTATCCCTTCCCCCTCCCCCGCCTCTCACACCGCCGTCATGGCCTGTATCCAGAAAGCAAAAAAAAAAAACACATCATCTTCAGCAATCGCATCATCCCGAAACGTCCCCTCCTCAAGCCACAGCCCAGTCCAGCCACCTCGCTAAAAAGATTTTTTTTATGCACAATTCCACGCTCAAGTCGCCCGCTCTCTCTCTCCACCAAACGTGGTAAATACCTAGGCACAAAGGGAACCAGCATTCTATTCTTGTACCACTGACCAGCATGCTTCCCTCGTCTGATGATTCGCTGCGCCGTGCTTCCTCTCCCCTGCTCAACAAACTACCTCTACTCTAAAACGTTTACTATTGTTTGCTCTGCCTACCTTTTCGATGCAGCGGTCAATAGTTTGTTGAATATGCCGTTGTGGTATTATTGCTCTCTCCACCTAGCTACTATTTTTATTCGCCCAATCAACGGCTCTGATAGTCTCATCTTTTGCTGTAAACCGCAAGCAACAACCTGGCTAGCTTGATGCACCTCTCTCTGTTGTAAACGCCAGACACCGTACTTGAAAGCCAAAAAAAAAAAAGCCAAAGCAAAGACAGCTAGACTCCGACCCGCGTATGCCATGTACCCTGTACCCCTCCGTGTGTATCGCGCCTCCAGCCTTCTCCGTCCATCAGCCTTTCACGATGGCGAAGCTGCACTGCCGGCATTGTAGCTGCCGAACCCGCCGTGCTCCGCCGTAGCATCGGCCTTCATCGTACCGTTGAGCAGAGGACATAACCTTGTAAGGCGCATTTGTTAGCAAAGATTCTCTTCAGCAAGTCATCATGGGCAAGTCATGAGCAGCAGCAAATGGGCCGGATCAGTAATAGGTCAATAGTAAGCAGCAGCCAGCAACGTCCCCTAAAGCAGCATGTGTCGACGTCCATTTCCCCTTGCAATCGACTGTAGACGCGGCGCATCAAGACGCAAATCTTGATCGAAATCTGGCCGCAATTCGCTCGGCAGCAAGAGAAGCTCTGGCATTGTATTGCTGCCGTTCTAGCCTGGCTGCTTCTTCCTGCTCGGCTTTCTCGAGGCGCCGCGTGAGCTTCTCCTGCTCCTTTTGCTCCTTCTGTGCTCTCTTACGCTCTCTCTCTTCCTCCTGCGACTTTTTCTGCGCGTTTTTCTGCACCTCCTCTTCCCGTCGTCTCTCGTCTTTCTCCCGCTGCTTCTCTGCACTCACCAGCGCCTTTGCGCGTTGCTGATTCCGGCGTCGTGCCTGCACAGCAGAAGCCCTGAGCAGCTTTGGAAAACTAAGCTTTCTCTTGGTACCTTCACCTGCATCTGCTGCTGCTTCTGGCCGCACTTTGGCTGCCGCCCACCAATCAAAAGGCGGGCGTGGGGGTGGGGAAGTCAATTCCATACTTTTTGTTTGTTTTGATGTGTCCAACCTGGCCACAATTGGCACACTTTCGAGTAGTGCCCGTAGGGATTTTATCCCCTCCGGTTGAAGGTGATGCTGCGTCGCCGGCAGCTGCTTTCTGATGCAGCTCTTTCTGCTGCTCTCGGGCTTGTCGTCGGGCCTTGTTCTTCTCCAATCGTTCGAGTTCTTTCTTGATTCTATGCCACCATGATTAGTCACGAGCCACCTTGATCGACAACCACTTGACGTACCTAATGCCTGCAAGACGGTCATGGTCGGCATTGCCCGTCGGACGCACGCTGTAGATGCTGTACGTAAATAGGTGTAAGCAGGCGCTCTAAACTCAAAGCCAGACAAGTTCTTCATAATTGCCACGGCACCCGGTCCATAATTGGACGGTGCCAGGCTTGTCAACTGTTTCGTGTATACAGAGTTTTGGAGCATGAATTGGACCATGGGCGTCAGTCGTTGCCAGGTTTGTCGGCTGAGCCCAAGTGTCCGTAGTCGGGGGTTCACGTACTCTTTCATCTCTAATTCCGCCTCCGTGCGTCGTTTCAGGTACTGCGAAATGACGACCGGGTCATGCACCACTTCCGTTCGTGTCTGGATGGATCCGTCCGGGAGACGGTAGTCACGCTTGATTCGAATTGCCCGCTTTTGATGACGACTGGATGAAGTCAAACCGCTAATCTGGCTGATTCCGTCGTCAAAGGGCGCCGGTGTCGCTGCCGCCTGAACATTGAATCGGTCGTCCTCGTCCTCCTGTGGCTGAACGTCATTGTCATCATGTGGTGTTGCATCTGTCAATGTTGTCTTTTGCTTCTCCCAAATTTCCCGGATGCCCTCCTCGTACATGGCTTGTTGCTTCTTGACGTTGTATGCATGCCCGCCGTTGGCCCGCTTCTCACGTTCGATAGCGTCTGCAGAGGTTGCTAGAGGTCCCTGGACAGCCTCGATATAGCCTCCCTTCATCGACGTGCGGATAAAACTGAAGCCCAGTCCGTGTCCGGTCGGGTCACCCTCGCCATGGAGCTGAAGCATGGCCTTTTGAGCGCAAGCATCAATAAACGCTTTGGTCGTCTTCCAAGGCGCCATCTTGTCTGCAAGTGTTTCCTCTTGCTTTTCTTGTGCCTTTTTGGCGGCGCCTTTGGTAATCTTGCTGCTGTCATCCTCCCCGTCATCTTCGTCAACATCCTCGGGTGCCTGGGTTTCGTCTTCAATAGTGGCATTACGAGGATCATAGCCGGCGTCCTCGAGCTCCTTGATGCCAAGTTGCATGGCATCGAGTAAGCTAACATCTTCTGGCTTGATCATGGCGCGAATAGCATTTTCGTCGGGGAGCACCTCGCCGGGCTTCAGGCGCCACATCCCCTTCTCTCCACTGTCTCTGTCATACTGCAAGAATTCCTTGAGCTTCTGACGGTTCTGTGTATCGGTCGAATCCGCAATATGTCGGGTCATTTCAGACAGCTGACAGTTGTCTGTCCGACTGTGTCGTATCATGCGGAATGCGAGCATCTTCATGCGGTTCTTGGAAGCATTCGTGACCTTTCTACTATGGGGTCCCGGAACTTCAACTGAAGGGAACGCCTGTCCCACCACGTGAATGTGGTCGATTTTGTGTAGATACCAGCGTGAGCCATCCACGCCAGTCGTGTTGCGCACAACCAAAAAGTCATTTGTTCTCGGAGTGTGCTTGAAGACTGGGGCGCGGTACATTTCATTGTGAAGCGTGGGTACAGTCTCGCCGGCATCCACGGTGCCAAACAGCGAAAAGGGCGAACGATCCTCGGGCAGTAGGGTACGGTATTCACCGAGCTCTAATTTAGGCAGCTGCTCTTCATCTTTTTCGTCCTTGCGGCGGTAGTAGTTGATGAGTTTGGTGCCCATGCCGAAATTGTTTAAAACGCGGGGTCGTGGCTCGCAATATTCAAAGAGGACGGCAGTAGAGTTATCACCCAAAGTCAAATCCTTTGACTTGAGGAAAACCTCGTGGGCCTTGCCCTTCATCATCTTGCGCTTCTGATGTTGGGGCTTGTCGAATTTAATGCTATGATGCGAGAATTTCTTGTAACGGAAACGAGGACGATGGTACTCATCCGTCGTCCCTGGCAGCCGGACCTTGTAGTATGGCCAGGTCAACTTGATAGCCGGCATACTATGTTCCACGGAAATGTTGCCGAGGGTAGCACGAACCTTGCTCTGATGATTCTCCTTGAGCAAATCATACGCTTCATCATTAGACAAGTTGAATCGCTGTGCCATAGTGCGTCCCAAGCGTCCAGCGCCAGTCTGTTTGCTCTTGTCCTCTTGACGAATACGTTTGGGGTTGACTTGCGAGTCTGATTCAATCAACAGGTGAGGGTCGCTAATATCCAAGTGAACGCGCTTAGCACCACGCTTTGTACTTTCTTCAAAGTTATCAAAGGATGGCGCGGTGTAGCGGGGTATCTCGGGAAGCCCAGAAGGAACAAACTTGCGTTTCTTTGGCCGACTTTTTGTGTCTTCCCCAAAATCTTGCAAGAACTCCGCGTCCCATTCGTCGTCTTGGTCGGCATTCGCATGCCTGATCTTGTTACTTTCTTTGAGCTCGGCAGCCAGACGGGTTTCAAATTCTTCTTGAATCGTCTCGATATCTTTGCCCCAATCTTGGCACGCGAGTTCAATATCGCGCATCGTGTAACCCATGACGGGCTCACCGTCGGATTCTTGATCGATATCGAACTGAACGATTTCGTCTTCATTTTCCGCGGCGTCCTTGTCGCAAAGCACTAGTCGCTTAGAATCGTACGCGCTAATCCTCTGCTTAAGAGACCCTGTTATTGCTGGTCCTGGGATGCGAAATTGCTTTTCGTCATCTGGCGCAAGGTCAAGACTCAGCTTGCTTGTGACGAGATGCTTCGGTTTCCTAACGGGCTTTTTTCCCTTCCATGTTGCTCTTTTAGGCGGCAGTAGTTCACTCCAAACGAGAGTACGCCCCTTCTTGAATGCTGGCCACATCTCCTTGAGCAAGTCCTCGACGGTTTCGGCAGGCGCAGGGATATCGGGGTCTTGATTGGCGGCGCCATACATATGCGGATCGGGATCAAAGTTCATGCCAGAGAAGCTCAGCCCTGTATCCGTTTGTTGAGTTTCGTCACCGGCTTCGGTATCGTGCACGCGTGGTCTTGGAGATGGGTGGTCTCCAACGGGATCAGTAGGCGAAGACGGCCCTTCGCCAAAAAGATCATCGGCATCGTTACTGGTGCCACCATCATCGGTTAGGGATGGGATCTCGAGCGAGCCACCAGCGGTGGGCTCCTCGTCGGGTAGATCATCATCGCTAATGTCCTCGAAGTCTTCCGCATCGTCGGCTTTGTTCGTTTGATCAAAGGGAGTGTCGTCTAGTTTCAAAACCCCGCTAGAACCATCTTGGCTCTGCTCCAAGAGGCGCGCAATCTCGCGCTGATCGGTGGCCTCTTGCGCCTTCCACTCGTCCTCATTGAACGAAGAGAAATTCTGATCGTCGGCCATCGTGAAGCCGTGTCCCCGATCGCGAGCCGGCTGTTGAGGGCGAGAAGGGCGCTTAAACCATTATTCGAATAAGTAGATACTGCAAGTTGTACAGTGCAAATGTGATGGAGAAGGACTCAGCTTTGCGCGCAGGGCTTGAGCGTGGATGCGCGTAGCTCGTTGGGTTGCTAGGATGGGTTGAAAGTAAGTTGAAAGTGAAGCTGCAGGGAAGAGTGGCCGCCTGAAAGCGATGACTCAGCAAAGAAAGTGGGTCCATGCGTCCACCCTACCACGAAGTGGTGGGGGCGTGGCACCTGTAGGCATTGATTCTGGGGTCGAGTCACGGTGCATCACAGCAGACTTTATAAATTCTCAAGAGAAATTTAACACATCTTCCTTTTCCTTTCAAGTAATGATCATGATGACCTTGATTCAGCCGAGAATCACGGATACGGGTCGCTGAGGATGCTACTAGCAAACGCATGATGCATCAACTGCGCTGAAACGATGTGGTAACAGAAGTCTATTTTCCAAGTTCTGAAGCGTTTCACTGGCACGGTTGGGTTGAGATCCTGTGTAGAGCATCTTGACGATCTCTATTTTAATCTATTCAATCATCGCAACTTACTCATTGACGCCAAGTTGTACCCAGCGTCGAAGGATATCATAGTCTAAAACGACAAAAGGTCATGACAAGGCTTGAAATAGCCTGTCATGCAACGCTAATAGCCACCCTACCCAGGCATGTGCCAAGCCAGTATTTGTAGCCCCCGCTCTAAAACAAAGAAAGAAGAAACACAAAGGTATGATACACATTAAGTTCGTAAAGCAAGTAGTTGTTGTCTGTCTTAGGCAGCAAAGACAATAGCAACGGCAGTGAGGACAACAGGCCACAAGCCCATATTCTCAAGAGCTATTTTGACGGCGGCTGAGTCCGACGACTCTGTGGAGTTGCCATCAGCATCCCTGTCTTCATCACCCTGGGCGGTAGTGCCGTTGGGCAAGGTGCCGTTGATGAGGAGAACTTTCTGGCCATCCTTGGTTCCAACGGTGACGACGCTCTTGTTGAGGCCGGCATAACTGCCGTTGCCGACAAGCTCGTTGAGAGTTGCAGTCGTGTTGCCGCTGTCGTCACAACTGCATGAAGCGCCCTCGGCGCAGCCGCAAATGACGGGCAACTCTTCGTCTCTGTTGTTGTTGGATTCATTGCGGAAGCGGTAGGGGTCGTGGTAGTTGTACATGTATGCGCCGCTGAGCCAGAGAGCGGGCCAGAAGGCGAGCGCAGAGCCGATGAGGAGACCGGGGACAATTCCGTTCCTGGTGCTGCCGGCGGCGAAAGGAACGCGAGAGCCTCCGCTGTAGTACTGGCCGCCGCCGAAGCGAGGTTGAGGGCCGGAGCCGGCCCTTGTGGTACCGCCAGAGTTTACATTGGATCCAGTGTTGGATGGTGAGCCGCGATTGCCTGTAGACCTTGATGAGCCACGATTTCTAGAATTGGAGGAGGAAGCACCGGAGCCGCCGCGATTTCCCGTGAAGCTGAAAGGGTTGAAGCTACTTGAGGAATCGGAGCCGCCACGGTTGCCGGATGAGCTAGACGAACCAGATGAAGAAGAGCCCGAGCCGCGATTGCCTGCAGAGCTAGATGAGCCACGATTTCCAGAATTTGAGGAGCCAGAACCGGAGCTGCCACGGTTGCCAGACGAGCCAGAACCGGAGCCGCCACGGTTGCCAGACGAGCCGGACGAACCAGATGAAGATGAACCGGAGGAACCGCCACGGCTGCCGCCTGAGCTGCCGCCTGAGCTGCCGCCTCCACGACCACCGCCAGAACCACCACCTTTGCGCTTGAACAGGTCATGTTCCTGGACATCGACGCGTGCAATGCTGAGTGCATCGCCGACGGCGGCTGCCGAGGCACTCGTCAGGAGCGACAAGGCAACGACTGCGTAGTCGAGTCTCATGGTGGCGAATGAAGTTGTCGAGGAAGTCGTCAAATTTGTACCCGTTGCTTGAGATGGTGAATGGGCGCTGGTGCAAAAGCTGTAGATGTATGGTGGTATGCAAGGCAGAAAAAGTAATATGCAAATTGTAAAGTGCTGAAGAAGAGTTGTTTCGGGTTGATTTTAGGTTGCCAAGACAAAGATGATACGGGGCGTCGCGAGATTATAAATGCGTCATGGAGCCTGAGGAGGCAAGGGCCAAGTAGCCACCAGCGAGCAGCGAGCAGCGAGCAGCCTAACAAGGTAGACTGCTTTTGGAGACGCTAACAATTGGACGGGGGAGTCGGTCTGGGGCCTGGGGGCGCAAGGGCGTTCCTGCAGGGATTTGCGACAAGATGCGAAAGTGGCGGAATCTTGACAGTGGTGAGAGTCTGAGTGTAGGTACCTAACCTAGGCAGGCAAGAACCTACGTACCTAGGTACTTGCTGGTATGAGGTCACCGTGGATTGAGGCTGAGAGCCTGGAGAGCCCTGTAATACGCCCTGGTGGCGGCACTTTAGTAGCTTTTTTTGCAAAACTCCAGTGGGCTTCAATGCGCTGTTTGGCCATCTTCGGGACCGCTAGAGCAGCTGTACAAGCTAAGTTTTTAGCGGACGCCCGGTTGTGGCGCCTCAGCAGGTGATGAATTATTTACAGGTTTCTCAAGTGTTTAAGTCATTATTACTGCTGCTACCTTGCTTAGTGCCTTTTTTGAATTTGGTCCACGCATCAAATATCCGAATTCGCTTCAACATATTGTTGGGCTCAGAAACATCCGAGAAGCCTGTACGACCCCAAGGATCAACAAGGCAGGCCTGCGTTGGACAGGCCACGGTACAGTGTCAACTTGCCGGAGGTACCTCCATCCGATGTGTGCACTCATTGCTTCAACCATTGTTTCATTTTCGCGCCGTAGTCATTTAAGTAATAGTTCTATTTACGTGCCATCACAGTCACAGTCACACAAAAACCTGCCACCTCTTGTGCAATTCTCTGCGCCATGTTCTGGTACAACACGCCTATAACGGCGCATTGCAAGAATGCAGTGACGGTTTTGCCCTTGTGGATAAACCGACGCCGCGGACACATTCGCTAAATAGTTGAAAGTGACTAATAAATAGCCCAAGTTGCCCAACATCGGAAGATGAATGCTACGAGGGCCGGCTTCAGTCTCGCCCCTTGGGGGCTTGGAGCAAAACAATGGCGAAGGCTGCCAAGCATCCAAGCTCCCAAATTCCGCCCCTGTGGGAGTACAGACAGAGTAGCCTCTTGATCTTCCGCGGCCCGAGCACCATCCATGACGCCCGCGGTTAGTTGATCTCAAACAAGATTTGTATTTTTTTATTTTTACACAATTTTAAAAAGTGCCAAAGACGTCTTGGTTACGCCGAAAATGTTGATCGTCAACGACCATGTTGCATTCGTCAACACTGTAGCCGAGGTTCATCTCCACCCCGGAAAGTAGATTCGTAGGGAAATAATGAGACATATCGCCCTGTCAAATCGGAGATAAAAAAACTCAAATCCAACCTCCCGGGACAGCCATGCAGTTGCCGCTTTGCCCCGGCTGCAACAGGTGACTACCAGTATGCAAGTCCCTGTGGCTGCGCCTCTTTTCAGCTGGGGCTGTGCAGGCGAGTGGCGCCGTCAGCCTCGCATCGCGACATAACCAGCAAGCAATTGCCGATTTATTAATTGAAAAGACATTCAAGATATGCTCAACTGATCGCCACAGGAAATCATTCAGTTGATCGGCAGTCTAAATGATGCAAAACAAAGAGTGTCCGACTTCCGTTGTGAAGGACCTGCACACGCCAGTGCCGAACAATCAGCAACATCTCAGACGCGATACCGAGTACATGAAAGGGACTTGGAAGTCGAGTTGGATCTGCTGCATTTATCGTAGAAGTAATCAGGTTCTGGAGAATAAACTGCGGCTTATAATCCGGTGATTTTGTTCAAATAAAAAAAAAACCACCGTGGTTGTCACCAATACTGCACAAAAATGTTGTTTGTAAGCCGATTTCAGCACCACTTCTAGCCCCGGCCTGGCGCCAGGTACAGCAGACAACTCACCGTCGCCACTTTAGCGAAAACTCGTGGCATCTCGGCGCTTCCAATTCTTCTTGCGCCCCTCTCACGGACGCAGCCGTCGCTAGTCCTGACAGTCAACGCGTTTTCTTCTCCGCTGACAAGGCATGCTGTCCCCGCGTTCGCACGCACCCTCGGTCCCGCGCCGACGCAACGGACGCCCACAGGCGTGCGAGCCATGCCGCCGCCGCAAGGTCGGTTGCGACCACCAGCTGCCCGCGTGCGCGCGCTGCCAAAAGGGCCGGATCGAGCACAGGTGCGTCTACCTCGTCGCCGACAGGGACCCCCTGCTTCTGTCGACCTCCCCGCGCAGCAGCCGCGAGCACACGTTCACGCTGCCGTCGTCGCCGGAACGGCGGCCTGCACGCCGGCCGCGCGTCGCCAGTCCCGGGGTTGCGCCGCCGGTGCCCCGGAAACAGCACCACGCGTCTGGAAGCGCCCGCCCCCCGGACAGCAGCGTCCGGTACGAGGCGCTGGGGTACATGGGCGCGACGAGCTTCTCCACCGATCTGGAGGAAGCGCAGCGCCGCCTCATGTCCATGCCCGGCGCCGCCGAGGGCCACATCAGTTCGGCGCAGCAGCCGCGAGACGCGCCCTCGTTTTCGCTGCGCGATTTTGACCCGCCAGCCGCAGCCATCAATGTGATTCGCAATATCCCTGACCGCGCGTCCAGCTACTATCTGTTTGAGACGTATCGCAACATCCACGACGCTTGGTGCCGGCTTGCCGCAAGGTGGTTGCTGCATTCGCTATGGGATACATTTGGTGACATTCTAGAAGGAGACAGAAGCGACGAGTCGCTCTCTGTCATGGCGAAGAAGCTCTGCCTGAATACTGCATCAGTCTTGCGAGAGGATCACACGAATCCAAAGGAGTGGTTCAAGGAGTTTTCTGGCCAGAATATGCGATGGGAGTGCATCGGTATTCTCTATGCCTATTGGAGTTCCGGGCTACTTAGCCTGCCGCGAGAGACGTTCAAAGGTAGCTGCAAAGCGCTCCATGACATGGATAGAAGGACGGCCCTTGACTTTTACAAGGATTTGGTCGCGGATTGCGCCAATCTTTGCTGGAATGCTGGCAATGGAAACACGCTTCTCTGTTTTCTATTATTCGAGAGGAGCCTATTGCAATCCAACATCAGCGGCGATGGCGGTACGTAGTCTTTCTCTAACCCTGCCCAACCACGAAGCAACATGCTAACTCTTGTTTTCAAGACCTCCGCCACTTTCGGCTACACGGAGATCTCATCGCACTAACTACCTACTTGGGCCTGCACACGTCCAGCGCCGCGTTTGGCGATCGCTCGGTATCCGTGCAAATCAGGCGGCGGCTCTTTGCCGGCATCTTCAACATTGACAAGCTCATCGCCATCTTCACCGGCCGCCCGCCGCTGCTCACCCGCCGATTCATCTCCGAATCAGAGCCGCTCGACATTTCCGACGAAGAGCTGCTGCAGGTACCGCCCGGCCCCGGCGCGGCATACGCCGGAATCGACAGCGCGGGATGGAGCCTGGGCAACAAGATTCTGCCCGTCTCGCCGCTGCGGGCCCGCACAATGATGGCCTACACGCGCGACTCGATCCTGGAGATTGCGCTCCGGAACAACAACAAGCTCATGGCCTGCGAGGATGCGCTGCTCGAGCTCAGGCAGCAGGCCACCAGCATGTACGACGGCTTCCCCTCGATCCTCAAGCACGCGGCCGACGACTTGCAGAACCCGGACCTGGACCACGTCCAGGTCTACACGCGCCTGCACATTACGCTCGAGCACCTGCACAACGTCTTCTTCATCGAGCGCCTGCTCTCCAAGCTGCGAGAGGGCGTCACGGCCGAGCTCGTGCGCATCAGCCTCGAAATCATTGAGCTGTCGCTGATCCCCTTTACGAACCGGCAGCTGACGACGGGCGTCATGTGCGACATTGACTGGCTGCTCATGGCGTACGGGGCCCCGGCCGGCGGCGTCCTGTGCATGGAGCTGCTCCGGCCCGCCGCCGCGTCGTCCGGCGCCGCCGGCGTCAAGAAGTCAACCATGATCCGGTCGCTGAGCATGCTGGTCGGGTGCCTCCACGCCGTGCCGTCCGACGCGCCCAACTATGGCGTCAGCGCGACGCTCAAGAAGATTATCGAACAGGTGCTGGACCGCGTGCTGGACCCGCCAGCGGAGACGACGGGCCAGGAGTTTTCCGTGCAGGGCTGGGAGACTGATTTTCTCGTTGACGCTGCGGATCTGTTCACTTCGGATCTGCTAGATACGTTTGACTGGTTTCGACCATAAAAGAATTTGAATCAAACATGATGGGCAGGGCCCGGCACACTACGTCGTACGCTACATATAAAGTCTAGACATGGGATACTGCCAACTATTTACATATTTAATATAATAGAACACTCTCAACATGAGACCATCTCCAGCCTTAAGAAAAATGACAAGAGAAGTCTTGTAGTATAACATATAAGCGCGTGATGCTCAGCCAAGATGCTGCCCCACCTCGACCTCGACTACCTCGCCACAAACAGGTGCGCAAATGCTCAAGCATCACCTACACACGCCACGCAACATCTCTCTGCACCTTTTCATAGGCTCCTTCTAGATCTGTATATACAATAATCGGCGCATCGGCATGGTCAACGACGTCGACAAGAGCTTGCTAGATCGTCTACAGGCACTGAGGGGAGGCCCAGCCGGCGGTCAACCATCGCAAGCGCCTCAGTGAGTACCGGCAGCAACGGGTCGCATTTGACTTTTAGAGATGATGGGGCATTTACTGACGTGGGCCGCGACGAAAGGAACATCAAAGTAGATGTTATTGAGAGGGCCAAGACACCGTCCAGAGAGGATGCGCTGACGGCGCGGCTCAGGTCCCTGCGCGAAGGCTCAGCGACGCCTGAGCCGGAGCGGCAACGCGCATCACCAAACCCTGCTGCTGCTGCTGCTGCTGCTGCTGCTGCTGCTGCTGCTGCTGCTGCTGCTGCTGCTGCTCCTCAACCAGCACCCACCATCTCGGAAAAGCAGAATTCCACCACGCTACCAGCTGCTTCATCCAACAAAAAGTACCAAGAGGAGGAGGAGGAGGAGGTTTTCGAGCATGTATTCGAGACCGACGACGATACCCTGCAGGAGCTCTTGGCAGACGTCACGCCAGACGAGGACCCGGGCGGCGGCGTCTCGGGCGCGCATGAGCCGAGCGACGAGCAGGTCCGGGCACTTTTGGAAAAGCTCGCCGACGACATCCCCAAAGACTTGTCCGACCCGCAGCCCACGCACGACCATGAGCTGGACTCGGACAATGACGGCTCGGACAGCGAGGCCATGAGGCGCCAGGTCAAGGATGTCGTGGAGCGGTATCAAGACGAGGCAGAGATGGAGGAGGAGGAGGAGGAGACACAGAGCAAGCGCCAGGAATCAAAAGACGATGACGACGACGACGATTTTCAAGATCCTCACGATGAAGCGGCGGCGCACAACGCCGACCTGCCGTCCGTTCCCTCGGACCTACAGGACCCTCTCCCGTCCTCCTCCGCGCGGAGCGAGAGCAAGCCCGGCCTCGACGATATTACTGCACGGTTAGCCGCGCTCCGCGCTCCGAGCCACAACACCGACGGCGGTGGCGACGACGACGACGACGATGATGACGCCTCCCCAGACTCGTTGAGCTTGCCATCGGTGCCGACGTCGCGCCCGTCCGTCCAGCCCGTGTCGCGGCTACAAACGCGGACGGGGTACACCGACGACGACGCGGACAGCTGGTGCACCGTGTGCTTGGCGGACGCCACGCTGCGGTGCCTGGGCTGCGACGACGACGTGTACTGCGCGCGGTGCTGGCACGAGATGCACGTCGGCCCGGCGGCGGCGTTTGACGACCGCAGCCACCGCGCCGTGCAGTTTACAAGGGATAGAAAGAAAAAGGAGGCGCCGAAAAAGGTGGCCCTAGGGGCATAGCATGTATAAAGCAGCATTACGCTAAAGTAGACAGAGCGTCTTCATTCTTAGGACTCGTGTACAAAATACCTTTTACCAATATGCTCAGTCGTTCATCATTATCACGTCCAGCTCGAAACACCTGTGGTCGTCTACACCTGTATCAATTTACTGGAATTTCAAAACACCCTTGAGGATCCACTGTGGCATGGTTAGCAGAACACATCCCACCATTTATAAAGTCGCCGTGTCGCTTCGAGCTTACAATCTGGCCGTTGCCAACCTCAATCGCCACCTTGTCCACCTCGACCTTGTCCGGCATCACCACGCGCGTCCCATTCTCGCTCTCCTCCCACCAAACTTCCCTTCCGGCCATTGTCTTTGCCTTTTGGCCCGCCTCCCACGGACTCTCCGTCACGAGATGGGCCTCGACGAAGCGGCCGAGGTTGGCGTCGGCCCGGGCCTTGCCGTCATCACCTTCATACGCGTTGGCGCCCAGCTCGCCCAGCTCGCGCTCGTCCTCCCAGGGTTTTCGGGGCAAGGCGTCGACGGCCGAGTTGAGGGGCGCGAGAACCGTCGTCTTGTCGGCGTCGCTGCCGAGGCGCTCCTCGCTCGCCTCGTGCTGCCGCGCAAACGACGAGAAGCTGCCGACGGCGCGCTGGGAGCCGAGCGTGTCGCTGAGGCGCACGGCGAGCTGCACAGGGTGGTCGTTGGCGGTGGTGGTGCCGGGCATGGTGGCGAGATGGTTTTGCGGACTGGTCCGTCGGGGAGTGGTCACGTCGTGGTTGGATCGGGGGCTGCTGCGCAGGGCGGCAACGGTAGGCAGCAGTATGAGACAGCTGGATAGCGCAATGACGGGGCGGCGCATCACCGACTTTTACTGAGGTGCTTCACTGAGGCTGAGCAGAGTAGATGACGGATTTCGAATACGGGCATTGACGAATGTCAAATGTATTGAAGTATATGATGGCTAATCTCGGAGCAGGAGCATCTGGTGTCGCGCCAGGACAAGCAGACGTCACTGGCGACGAATCGGGCATGGGCCGCCGAGACTTCCCCGCGCGAGCACCGCTGGTGGGCTGGCCCGGTTATCTGCCTTGAATCATGGCCAAGTCAAGAGGGCGTTCATTTGGTCGGCGGTATCAAACGGCGTCAATGAGATCCTGTAAAATTGAGTAACATAATGTTCTATATATTTGGTATGGAAAAAAAGTGTACCAGTATGTCGACAACGGTCAAGCTCACTGCACATTCTGGAGCTGTGTGGTGGCCGGGTTCGGTGTTTTCGCATGGCAGGTTAGAAGCCGAACCACATGCTAACTGCCTGAACAGCGTTAAGGCACAGGGACCACTGCCCACTGCAACAACACAAAAAGATCACGAATGTTAGGTGCGCGTTATAGGGGACGCTGCGTATATATGCACCCACGGCGCCTGGGGCCCCATGGAAATCGCAATAACAATGCCACCTCGGGAATTCAACTCCAGACTTTGAGTCGGCACCATCAGTCGCGAATCGGCATCCCCAAAAAGTTATTTTGGGTTAGTTACCCCAAAGGCTGCTTAGACTTTCACGTGCGAGAGTGGTGCTCGCCAATCATGCTAGAGGTATTTGTTAGACCATGCAGTTCGCCACTGAAATTTGTAAGAAATGCCAGTCATCTGACGGCCCCTCAAGGGTGTTTCTCCTCCAGTGCGCCCCCGGAGTGTGGGGAACGAACCTTCACGTCTCCGTGGGGCAACATTTGGAGGAATTCACATGCAAATCGCGTCCGTCACCAGACCATTTGGCATCGTTTTTGGGGGTTGTGTTAGTGCCTACAGGCGGAGTTCTGGCATGTGGGAATTGGCAGCTTCGAAATAGTTAACGAGAGGCGATTAACTCGAGACCTGTGTATTAATTTGGAATTGCTTCGTTTGCACAAGAGTGCCATAAGGTGGTGTTGGCTGCTGTTGTGATGAGCGAAAGAGAAAGGCCGAGGCTCCGTTGTCGCCGACAGTGCCCACATATGCTTCGTGCGAGAACATCGAACATGCGCAGCGTCCGAGTATGTATCCTCCTGTCGATGTTCATGAACCTCCAAAACCATCAGAAGTGCTTCCTGGATCGGCCCGTTGTCTCGCACAAGTCCCCTTACCCCAGGGAGGTGCAAATGGGACGGCGAGGCGTCGCGCATTCGAGTAGTCTCGTTTTGCGGCAGCCATCCCGTATCAACACATGACTGCGACAGCGGACGCAAGACGTCGTTGAATTAGTGAGATGGACTTGCCTGGCGCTATGCTGAGAGTAGCAAGCGCTCCGGTGGCAAGGTCCGAAAAGGCCTGTAATTCACGGTGCTTGGGCCCTTGGGTGGCGGACGAGGCTAGGAAGTAAGCGCCGGCTACTCGGTCGGGGCATGTGGGTGCAGCGGAAGGCGAGCACAGCAGTATCGGTGCCAGGATACAATCGGAGCAAAAGATACTCAATTTTTTTGGTGGTGATGACGATGATGATGATGATGGAGATGAAAATGTCTCGATGCATTCCGTTTGTTTCTTGATTACTATATCAAGGACTCAACGCCAAAGACAGAACACGGTTGACTGAAAATGTCAGTGGCAGCTGGCAACTGAAAGCAAACAGCCGTAGTGGGGCGGGACTGGGTTGCTGGCAGCGGGCAGAGCGAACAAACGCTGGTGCTCATGGCAACTGGCGGCGCCAGGCACCTGTTTTTGGTAGTTACAGTTGGCTCCAGTTGGCTCTTTGCCCTCACGTCCCAGCGCGTGGCAGCCTTTTGCCTCTTTCTGGGGCCCCTCCCCGTCGGCCCCCAGTGACCAATGTCCCCAGTCAAATGCTCTCTGGGCTTGTTTCCCCCAAATTCAAATTGACCTCGGCTGTCCCATCGTCCTCGGCGTCCTGGCTCCACCATTCCTCTCATGGCCTCATAAACGCCCAAGTCCGAAAGCCATTTTAACCTTTGTACTTCTCCTCATTCATCCATCTTCTCTGCATCTTCTTTCATCCCTCAATTTTCCCCAACCTCATCTATCTGCGCAGGCTTCATCTACTCTCCTGCCTGCTCCTCTCTCTCGCACTTCCCTTCTCATTCCCTCTATCCCCTCACATTCATACACACAGCACAATGGCTCCCAGAGTAATTGTCGTCGGTGGTGGTCGTAAGTAGCTTCATTGTCTCGGTTCGCCATTCGCATTGCAGCTTCTGCCTTCGCGCGTCCTCGGCCGTTGCGGGCTTCTCGCCTACGCGTCTCTGCGAACCCATTTCTCGCAAACCGCATTGCTAACGCCAAACTTCTCAGTCTCTGGCTTGAGTGCCGCTCACACCATCTACCTCGCTGGTGGCAACGTCGTCGTCCTTGACAAGCAGGGTGAGTGAATCTGAACTCTTTACTCTTTAGCGCCTTCCTTGATACGCTAACCGCTCTCGACAACAGGCTTCTTCGGCGGTAACTCGACGAAGGCTACCTCTGGTATCAACGGTGCCCTGACCCGCACCCAGGTGGACCACGGTGTCGCCGACAGCGTCAAGCAGTTCTACGACGATACCCTCAAGTCTGCCCGTGATAAGGCTCGTCCTGATCTTATCAAGGTCCTTACCTACAAATCCGCTGCCGCCGTTGAGTGGCTCCAGGATGTTTTCAACCTCGATCTTACCCTCGTCTCCCGTCTCGGGTAAGTCAGCATTCTTAATTGCAAACCGCTCTGGCGGTCCCGGTTCTCCCAATGACAACCCGCTGATCTATCTACGCAGTGGTCACTCTCAGCCCCGAACCCACCGTGGCCACGATGCCAAGTTCCCCGGTATGGCCATTACCTACGCCTTGATGCAGCGCCTCGAGGAGCTTGCCGAGACCGAGCCGCACCGTGTTCAGATTATCAAGAAGGCCCGCGTCACCGGTCTCACCAAGGAGGGCAATTCCATCCTCGGTGTCTCCTACGAGTCCGATGGCCAGACCCAGACTCTCGAGGGCCCCGTCGTTCTCGCCACCGGTGGTTACGCCGCCGATTTTGGCGACGGCTCTCTGCTCAAGAAGCATCGTCCCGATACCTATGGCCTTCCCACCACCAACGGCACCCACGCCACCGGTGACGGCCAGAAGATGGTCATGGAGATTGGCGGCAACGCCATTGACATGGACAAGGTCCAGGTTCACCCTACTGGTCTCGTCGACCCCAAGGACCCCGGCTCCAAGTGGAAATTCCTTGCTGCCGAGGCTCTCCGTGGTGAGGGTGGCCTTCTTCTCAACGCTGATGGTGACCGCTTCTGCGACGAGCTCGGACACCGTGATTACGTCTCCGGCATGATGTGGAAGGAGAAGGACAAGGGCAAGTTCCCTATCCGCCTCGTCCTCAACTCCAAGGCTTCCACCGTTCTTGATTTCCACACCCGCCACTACTCTGGCCGTGGTCTCATGAAGAAGATTTCCGGTGAGGAGCTTGCCAAGGAGATTGGCTGCACTCCCGACCACCTCCAGAGCACCTTCAAGGCCTACAACGCTATTGCTGAAGGCAAGGAGAAGGACCCTTGGGGCAAGAAGTTCTTCCACAACCTGCCCCTTGATATTAACGACACCTTCCACGTTGCTGTCATGGAGCCCGTTCTCCATTTCACCATGGGTGGTATCGAGATCAACGACAAGGCTCAGGTCCTCAACCAGGACAAGAAGCCTTTCGATGGCCTGTTCGCCTGTGGTGAGTTGGCTGGTGGTGTTCACGGTGCCAACCGTCTCGGTGGCTCTTCTCTCCTTGGTTGTGTCGTCTACGGCCGTGTTGCTGGTGACACTGCCAGCAACTACCTCTTCCAGAAGGCCCTCAGTGGCACCGGCTCTGGTGCCGCCCGTATCGGCCAGATTTCCCTGCACCTCGACCCCTCTGCTCCCGGTAGACTGACCGTTGAGTGGGCCAACGGTGGCGCCGCTGCTGGCGGCTCTGCCCCTGCTCAGATTGCCGAAGCACCCGCTGCTGGCGACAACGCCGCCGCCGCCGGTCCCACTCCCGCCGGTGCCACCAAGGTTGAGGCCAAGCCTTTTGCCATTCCCGAGAAGGAGTACAGCATGGAGGAGGTTGCCAAGCACAACACCAAGGAGGACCTCTGGGTCGTTGTCAAGGGTGTTGTCATGGATCTCTCCAACTGGCTCGATGACCACCCTGGCGGCCCCCAGGCCATCATGAACTTCATGGGCCGCGACGCCACCGAGGAGTTCGAGATGCTGCACGACGACGAAGTCATTCCCAAGTATGCCCCTAACCAGGTCATTGGCCGTGTCAAGGGCCAGGAGCCCAGCCTTGAGCTATAAACGGCTGTTTTCAAACCCCCGAAAAATAAAAAGAAAACGGTCGTATAGTATTATGTTACGGATTGATGGGATATAGATTTCGATGCGGATTAAAAGAATTCCCCACACATGTATCAGCCCAAACGGAGATGACCTGAGGGGCAATTTGGCGCTTGGGACTTGTTTGGTCATGTTACCTTCATATTTTTGTATTTTGGATTATTCCCTATGTATTTTCGACGTTGTACAGATAGCAATGCATGCATATGAAAGAACTCAAGAAGTCGCCCAGATCTCGGTAAATATCACCGTCGTGAGTCCACAGCTGTGAAGGCAAGCCACATGTACGTGTGAAGATAGATCTTCGAGGTCCGACAGTCAACAGCCATCATCACGGACAAAATTGGCATCTGCCGACCTCGTGCTCCCCATGTCAACTGCTGCCAAGTTTTCCGATTCTTCTTAGCAAAGCATATAATTAGACACGCAAAACACATACTTCATTTTACATTTATTGTTCAAGTCGCCTGCAACGAGCCAAACCCCATTCCTTCTTATTCCTCCTTTCCCTGCAGAGTAGAGCGGCAGCGGCTTACATGCCAACGAAGGCGAGACACACAAAAGGCCTATTCTGGCCAATGGTGGATTTGGGAACAGTCAGCGATTCGAAGCTTCCAATATCCTTCCCTTGCAACTTAATCGCAAGATCTCGTGGACTGGGTATGCTCAAAGACTCCGCTTTGTAAAGAAATTCGCATATCGGAGCCTGATTTAGCACATTGTATCTAGCTAGGTTCAAACAAGAATCCTCTGAAAGGGGCGAATTTCATCGGTATTCGTAGCAGGCTAGCATGAATGGCCGAAATTTCTCGAGAACGCACAATATTTGCAATGGTAAACCAGCCTGCTTCGGAAAGATGCTCTACGCAGTACTAAGAAGTCATATCAACAACGAGTGCCTGCGAAGAGGTTGGCCACACAAAGAGACGCCATTCTCTGCTCGATGTCCTGCTCGATGTCGGAAATGAAACAGCCATTGACCGGTGAATCGCTAGGCAGTCTCCGCCGGGCAAGCATATATACATGCTTTGTGCCTCCTCGAGTCTCCGCCACTTACTAATAAGGTTTGAGCTCCTCGACGCCTCAACAGCCACTCGCCGCAGGTCTTATCCTACAAGGCTATGAGCACCGGCAAATTGGAAGAATTGGGTCTAGCGGAGCAGCACATGGTCAAGGTCCAAAGGAGCACAAGCACCCTGTGGCGCCGTGGCCTCATCATACGGTCGCACTATGGCCCGGTGTTCGCTCTACGTGATGCATGTCGGTAAATTTCCAAAGTAGGTAGTGTGCAGGAAAGTCTGATCACCTCAACTTGCTCCGGGCCATGTGTCGCTGTATGGGAGCACTATGACTCATGTAGAGGTTGGAAGTCATGTCGTCGCTTTATGGTTCCGAACAAGTGAAAACGTTTATCGGTCACAGAAACCCTGGGTAACAAGTGCTAACCATATACATCAGGCCCGTTCCATCGAGGAATTAGCAAATGAGGAAAAAGGAATACACAGAATGCAAAGAAACAAAAAGAAAGTATGGGAAAGAGGATTCAAACGAAACAGAGGTAAGACGACGGTCTGGTGCAGGGCAGCGTGCTATCGGGACGGTGGCGTTGGGCAGACATGTGCCTGGCTGGAATGCTGCGTACAGGTTGAGTGGTCGCCAGGTTCGAGACAATCGAGAGAAACTAGCGCCAACGAGCCGAGGGTAGGGAGTCCTGTCCGACAAGAGGCCAAGGCCAGAGCCAGCTGAGAAAGGCATGGACGAATTCCAGTGCTGTTACGCCTTTGTTTCGCCCAATGTCTTAATGGATTATGAGTTGACAATTTGCTTAGATACAGTGTCAGCGTCTGCTGTAACAACTTGGCCAGCATTATGGAAGCAACCAGTTCCTTTTCCAGCAAGCCATCTCGTAAAAGGGTGGAGAGAAGGAACTGGACGGCGATTGAGTTGTGACGGGAGAGGCAGCTTGCAGCAAAATGGTTTCCAACCCGCTAAACCGTCGGGGGCTTGGCTTGCGGAAGACGAGGCGTCGTGGTGTTGCCATAATTCGCTGGCTGATGTATGCTAGCACGAGACCCTCCGCCACCAAGAATCAGAAACAACAAGCCGGCGCAGTCAGCTTCGGCACGAGATCTGGCAATTTGGTTTCTGGTGAAAAGTACTGGTAAGTATTGACTGTGACACAAGGGATGGCGGGTAAAGTGAGACGGGCGGGATGGGATGGTGTTGAAGCGTTGAAGCAGTGATCCGAGTCGAGCAAGCTAGTGTCTTTAGCAAAGGGAGGAGCGGACTGGTTGCCGGCGGTTTGTCAGCAGAGGGAACCAGGAAATCAGGTGGCTAATAAGAACGCATGGCTGGGCAGCATGCATCAACAGTGGTGCCAGTAATTCGTGAGAGTGTGTGGTTGAGGCTATTTAGACTGCAACAGCAGGCTCTGATGATGCTTCACCGAGGAGTAATTATCATATCGTACCGAATGATATGGGTTCAAGACGAACGATCGATCTCTGTGGGTTAGCAGAAGTGGGAAGATGGTTGCCATCTGGGTTAGCGACTAAAATGTCACGACATGGGCGGTTGGGAGGGTGTTGGGCGAAAGAGCGAGCGTGATGTGGGCAAGTGGAGAAGAGGAGAGTACCTACCTAGGTTTGCTAGGGTGCTAGGGAAGGCCAGCAAGCCAGTTAGTCCGTGGCGGCCACACTCTGCGCTCGGATTAATGGCGACTTCCACGGCGGTGAGCGGGTAGGGACAGGTCAGTGCAGATGACGGGAATATGGGAAACGGAAAGGTGCATGAATGAAAGGAACACCTCTTGCTTTTAAAGGTTCGTTCTGAGCTAGATAATAGATCAAGTAACGTACATACTCGTTAACTCGCTAGCCGCAAAAGCCAGCTTGGTGCGGCCGTTGAAGAGTCAATAATTGCAAGTCTGGGGAAGCGGGGGCAGAAACAGACTGCTTCCAGGTAAGGTGCTGGCCAAGGGAAGTGGGGCTCTGCCAGACGGGGGCCAGACCCCTGTAGTGGCTGCTGCAAATAAATGTCCAACGCTGAAGCCGCCTTATGCAAGTGCTCAATACTTGATCAAGGCCCCGCCTCATTCGTGGCTGATGCATCATTCAGCCAATCCTTAGATTACTCGCCAAATAATGTCCAATCAGATATGGCCGTCACTCTCCTAACCCCGGCCCCTTTCCGCCACTCCGTTCGTAGCTTGTACTTACTCGTACACCTTGCCTGGCTTTCTGCTCACTGGGACAGTGAATATGTCCTGGTAAAGGTGAACCTTTTCCTGGTCAGTGGTAGATGACTGAGTGAAAATTAACAAGACTGTTGCCTGATCCGTCCAAGACTTCCAAGAACCCCTCAAGGCGACTTCTGGTTCGCCAAGCGTCAGCCAGCCCACTCCCTTTTTCTTTGTGGGTGCCCTCGGAGCGCTGTCGTCTAGATTCCACCAGACCATTTCAGGCCCCCTCCCAGGCAGTGCGCCGCCCAGCAGACCCCTCCAGACCAACCCCTACCCGCTGTAACGGCCTGCTCCCTCGTCGTCCTTTTCTTCCACAACTCTCTCTCCTCACCATCTTCACTCCACATTTAACTTGCCATCCTCACCCAACGCTACCAAATCTCACCTCTGCTCGCCCACCCGACCCTTCTCTACTCGAGTCCTTCGCCCTTCCGTCGACATTCCTTGCCGCATTGCTGCTTAATCCGATTAATAGCGCTTTTTTTTCTAGTTCCATCCGATCATCATTGCCAAGTCGCTACAGTCTCGCGACTCCCGCCCACTGAGGAAAATCGCCCCATCTTAACCACCAACCGTTGGCTGCACTCAACCCTCTAGTCAATTGTACCAACAAAACCCTGCGACCCTTGCTTCGACGACGGCGGCCTTTGGCAACATTCTCTTCACCCCCAAATCAAGCGCGAACGATCGCCGCCAACAGCTACAGTGGATTGATTCATCACAACCCGACGCCATGGCGATTGCCATGCGCTGGCAGAAGCCTGACAATGTCGCTGGCTCGTCAGCCCCAGCCATTATGGTTGGCCTATTCGTCGCGTCTGGTGGTCTCTTGTTTGGTTATGATACTGGGTAAGCTTCGAATCTGGCCCTGTTCGCAACCCACGCCTCTCTCGATATGGTTCTCGCACCCGGAGACTCAAGATGCGACGTCACATGCATATCTGACGACTGTCGTTATCTGGCAATGTCACGCCTCGATATATTCGCTCAGAGACTCAAAAGAGAGCACAATACTACCTTGCTTTTCAGCCTCACCAATGCCGTACCGCGTTGCACTTGCTTCGAATACTGATTTGCTCTGTAGTGCAATCAACGGCATCCTCGCCATGGACGAGTTCAAAAAACAGTTTTCTACGAATTGCAGCGACGCCGGCGTCAATACCAATCTCTGCCCAAAAGACTCGTCGATAATTGTTGCCATTCTTAGCGCTGGAACTGTTCTCGGCGCTCTGATTGCCGCCCCATTTGGGGACTTTTTGGGACGTCGCAAATCTCTCCTTCTTGGCGTTGCACTCTTTTGCATTGGTGCGATTTGCCAAGTCTGCGCTGAAGACATCCCTCTGCTTCTTGTTGGGCGGTATGTTCGCACCTCTATCTGTACATTGCTTCTGATGTTAATGACTTTCTAGATTTCTTGCTGGTGTCGGCGTTGGTGCAGTCTCTGTACTTGTTCCCATGTACCAATCCGAGATGGCTCCAAAATGGATTCGTGGTACTCTTGTATGCGCATATCAACTCTCCATCACAATCGGCTTATTGGGGGCTTCAATTATCAACATCATAACCTCACGGATTCCCAACTCAGCGTCATATCGCATCCCTCTCGGACTACAGATAGTACCCGCTCTCATCATCACCGCGGGCCTACTTATCCTTCCCGAGACCCCGCGATTCCTCGTCAAAAAGGGTCGTAATGAGGAGGCGGGCATATCGCTCAGTCGCTTACGTCGGCTAGATATTACTCACCCTGCTCTCATTGAGGAGCTGCACGAAATCATTGCCAACCATCAGTACGAGCTGACGCTGGGTGACGCCTCGTGGAAGGAAATCTTTGTCGGCACGCCTCATCTGGCACGTCGCACTTTTACCGGCTGTGGCTTGCAAATGCTCCAGCAACTGTCCGGCATCAATTTCATCATGTACTTTAGCACAACCTTTTTCGGTGGTGCGGGCATTGACAGCCCCTACACTAAATCCCTCATCATACAAATCATCAATGTCATCTCGACCATCCCCGGCCTCATTGTCATTGAGTCGTGGGGTCGACGCAGGCTGCTGATGGCTGGTGCCATCGGCATGGCCGCTTGCCAGCTTATTATCGCATCTTTTTTTACGGCGTCTGGCAAGGACCTGAGGACTGCACAGCAAACTATCCTCATGGTATTTTGCTCTCTCAACATATTCTTCTTTGCTTCGTCGTGGGGTCCCGTGGTCTGGGTCGTCACCTCGGAAATCTACCCTCTCAAGATTCGAGCCAAGGCCATGTCCATCTCTACCGCTTCAAACTGGCTACTCAACTTCGGTATTGCCTACAGCATACCATTCATGGTGGACGTTGGTCCTGGTAATGCTGGTTTCGGCCCCAAAATTTTCTTCATATGGGGTGCCTTTTGCGTCATTGCCGTCCTGTTTGTTTGGTGTATGGTGTATGAGACCAGCAAGATCAGCCTTGAGCAGATTGATGAAATGTATGAGCGAGTGAACCACGCCTGGGAGAGTAAGAGATTCGAGCCAAGCTGGAGCTTTCAGCAGATTGTGGACGAAGGCTGGTCCCCAAGCGCCATTCCTCCCCCAGGACATGAGCTCCATACGACCCCGTCACAAACGAGCGCCGAGACCACACTCAACGATTCGGGGTCCACGACCACTACCCACGAAACTGGTCACTCGACAGACGAAGACAAGGCCGTGGCACCACCAACCATGGCCAACGTCGACTTCAGCTACTAAACATTTATACCCCCAATTTGATTGGCGCTCTTGACTTGGTTTATCTGAGCTCCTCTTCCTTTTTTGTCTCTATCATTTTGCCACTACTTGTTTCGTCAACCTATTTATACGTCCTCATATCATGGATTAACAGCGTGGAGTTATGATGCTTCGGAGTTTGCTGGAACTCAGTTTTTGTCTTTGCGCGCTCACGGGGAAATCTTTGCATTGACTTTATCCGGCAAGGTCATTTCATTAGGATATGCGACTATTACAGGTTCCGCTGCGAGCGGTAGCTATTACCTGGTTTTCTATTACACTATTACATTGGCTGCAATCTATTATGGGCATTTTCTATTCTGCCTCATTTTCCGCTAACCATCATCACGTATTTTGCAACTTGAAATGATAATCATGGCATTTATTTCGACTTAGTGGGCGCATGCATGCCACGTCGCGCCTTGGTGGGATGGTGTGTACGCGTCTTGTGACCAGCACATATGACGGACGGCTTGACCACTCGACGGCTCTTCGGCGTAAATTGGCGAGAGGGGGCGAAGGGCGAAAGGATACCATGTCTCAAGTTGACGGAACTCGAACCGATGGCTTTGAAGGGGAAAAAACAATAAAAGTAACCGAATTTACATGACGAACGCCTTTGACGTGTGTAAAAAGACAAAAAGAAATCTCCGAGGACGGAGTCGAACCGCCGACTTTTCGATGACAATTATTCAATTACAGTCGAACGCCATGAACCAACTAGACCACTCAGAGTTGACAGCAGCGACCTTATTTTAGTACATGAGGTATTCCATACTCCACCTCCACAATACTTGGGCAAGCTACCCTAGAGCAAGGTCTATCGACCGGTTCCTTCTGGTGATCAACTCGATGCAGATGTCCTGCTGCGGATGCGCTGGTACCCTTTTGTTCTGGTTCACATCTCTGTCATTATTTGGGTATACATGCAATACGCATGTTGGTACGGGCTATGGCTGGTAGCTGGACGTGTGAGGCGCTGTTTGTAGACGCCCGTACATGTTCAACTACGGTTATGCCAGAAGCATATTACAAGCTTCGGATGACACGTTGTTTTGAGACCGACCACGAAGCTACGAGAATACCTGCTGAGACTTTATCGTGTGTCTATACATCTTGACGATGAACGTACTTTGACGAGATCAACCATCGAGTATTGACTTCTTACACCCTCAATGTACAGTGTGCACCTGTACCAATAACGCACCTCGCACAGTGCACACGCTCGTGTCGCCGTCAAATCAGGGGTCCTCCAATTCCAAGCTCGGCCGGCGGTTCCCCGCTAAGTCGGAGCTTCAGACACGTACTACAATCGGGACCTGCCACCGTCACTCCTTTTGCGTCACCGCTCGCCGCTCTTTCTTCCTTCTTTTTCGTGTCCACGATTAACAGTCGCTACCAGGATGCGATAGAGCAGCGTCTTTTTTTTCCCGCGAGAACCCCCCAAACTTAGCCGCCCACAATGGGTGTCTTTTCCTTTCTCAAGAGCGTCTACACCCTCGACACACTCGACACACGCTTCACATCGTCCTCGTCGGTGCCGTACAAAACGGTAGTTGAAGCGCGCAGCGACCCGGTTGCGCAGCGCGAAGTAACCGCTGCCAAGGCCCAGAGACGCCACGCGCAACCATCCAAGTGGCGGACGCCCGAGTTTTACCTTTACTATGTCGTCTTTGTGGTCGCGGTCCCGTACATGTTCTGGATCGCCTACGATGTCTCGAGGCGTATGTTGGCCGGTCCTGCGTGCCTGGTGTCGATTGCGCGGCTAATACTCTCTTGTTTGTAGCCTCCGACCCTAGATACCACAAATTCGAACGGTTCCTTTCCGAGGGCTGGATCCCCGGCCGCAAAATCGACGTTTCCGATGCGCAGTACCACATGTTCCGCAGCACGCTGCCGTACATGGCGGCGCTGCTGACCCTTCACCCGCTGCTGCGCCGAGTCTGGAACGCCGTCAGGCCGATTAGCAATAAGAAGCCAATCGGCGCGGCGCGCTTGGAGCAGCGAATGTCGTTTGACTATGCCTTTGCGTTTGTGTTTCTGCTCGCGTTGCACGGCGTGTCGGCATGCAAGGTCCTTGGCATCCTGTACATCAACTACCAGCTGGCGACCAAGCTCCCCCGGCGCTACGTGCCTGCCGCGACGTGGATATTCAACATCTGCACGCTCTTTGCGAATGAAACCTTTGATGGCTACCCGCTACGCAAGGCGGCGGCGATACTCTCGCCGCCGGTGCTGACAGGCGGCAGCGTTGAGGCGGTGGACTCGCCGCTGATGGAATGGGGGAGATGGCTGGATAGCTTTGGCGGCGTCGTGGCGCGGTGGGAAGTCTTGTTCAACATTACCGTGCTGCGCCTGATAAGCTTCAACTTGGACTACTACTGGAGCCGCGACAAGAACCAAGGCGACATTTTCGAGGTAAGTTTCTCCAGCATGTTCATGTCTTTTCTAGAGATTAGAGTCTAAGACGCCCAAGAAGAAGCAACTCGACCCTGCCAACTTGTCGGAAAAGGACAGAATATCGATCCCCGCCGACGTCAACGACTACTCGTTCCGCAACTACGTTGCCTACGCCATTTACGCGCCTCTCTACCTTACTGGCCCCATAATGACATTCAACGACTTCATCTCGCAAGCCAAGCATCGCCCTTTGAGCATCGAGACGCCCCGCACTGTCCGCTACGCCGTGCGCTTCCTGCTGGTGCTCCTGGCCATGGAGCTGATTCTGCACTATGACTACGTCGGCGCCATCAGCAAGGCCAGCCCCGTCTGGGCCGACTACACGGCGGCGCAGCTCAGCCTGCTGTCGTTTTTCAACCTCCACCTCATCTGGCTCAAGCTGCTGCTGCCATGGCGCCTCGCGCGCCTGTGGGCGCTCGTCGACGGCGTGGACCCTCCGGAGAACATGACGCGCTGCGTCAGCAACAACTACAGCACGCAGCAATTCTGGCGCGCCTGGCACCGTTCCTACAGCCGCTGGCTTGTCCGCTACCTGTTTGTGCCGCTTGGCGGCGCTTCGTTTCGCAACTGGCGCGCCGTTGCGCGGTCCATCATCACATACATTTGCGTGTTTACCTTTGTCGCGCTCTGGCACGACATTCAGCTGCGGCTGCTCATTTGGGGCTGGCTCATTGTTCTGTTTATGCTGCCAGAGTTTACGGCTGCGGCGCTGTTCCCCAAGAGAAAATGGGAGGGCCGCCCGACAGAGTACCGCATGCTGTGCTGTTTCGGCGCCATATTTAACGTGCTGATGATGATTACGGCGAACCTGGTGGGCTTTGCGGTAGGTCTGGATGGATTAAAAAGCATCATCACGAGCATTTTGCATGACTGGTCTGGTAAGTTCCATGGTATTTTTCCTTGTAAAAAACGCATCTAACATGGACAGGCTTCCTTTTTCTTGTAACGGCATGTTCTGCACTCTTTGTCGGCATCCAAGTCATGTTTGAAATTCGTGAATCCGAAAAGCGCCAAGGAGTAACGCTGAGATGTTGACCTTGTAGAGCACAGTCACTGGTTAACGGCATGTTTGACAAAATTTGTATATTAGAATTAGCATGGCATTGACCTGTCGTCAGTAAATGGTAAAGTACATGTAAAATCAGTACACGACAGTACATCGATGATAAACTCCGCTGCGATGTTGCGACAAAACACGCTCTTAAACAAAAGACTCTGCAGTGTGCTCTTTAGGCCTCTGCACTGTGCCAAACTCGGCGTCTTGTTCGTTCCGCGAGTGGCCTTGGCCCACAAACTTGCCCTCCATGCCGAGCTTTTGTTCCGTGACCCAGACGCGGAGGCGAATGATTGCCCACACGACGACAAAGATGATGAGGATGCCGACGGCGATGCCGACAATGTAGGCAGCGACGTAGCCGCGCCCGCCGACCTTGTCGTGGTCGAGGAAGCGGTACGTGTACCAGCCCTGGTCCGCGAGCGTCAGAAACGCGACGCAGAGGTAGCCGAGCAGGATGACGATGAGCCAGAGGGCGTGAATCCAGAGCGGCGGCGCGGCGCGGGCCAGCAGCAGCTCAAAGAGCGCGAAGAAGCTGTTGAGCGCATGCTCGCTGACGTTGCCCCAGGCGTCGTAGGCGCGGGGAAACCAGGACCCGGCAAAGAGCAGGCTCCAGTAGACAATGGTGACGAGAAAGGGCAGCGTGACGATGGAGGAGTAGAAGAGGGCGTGCAGGGCCTGGAGGGGCCGCGGGAGGCGGCCGAGGAGCGAGGAGCGGCCGCCGCTGCGAATGTAGCTCAAGGTGTGCGTGGCGGCGGCGAGCAGGTAAAAGGCGAGGCCCCAGTAGGTGAGCACGGTAAAGTAGGAAAAGGAGCGGCGCGACGCCCGGCACCCGCCGAGGTCGTCGTGGGTGCAGTTCCAGCCGAGGGTGAAGAAGAGGTCCGTAAAGGCGTACAGAGACTAAAAGAAGACGAGCAAGGTTAGCTTGGTGGAACACAGTTGGCGTTTTGGTGATGTATTATCGATGCATCGTGCAACTTTCCCCGCGATATTGCCCGAAGCGGAACGCGCAATGAAGGAAGCAGGGGAGGGGGGAGGGGGGGTTTGTATTTCGAAACATACAAAGAGAGCGCGACACGCGAAAAAGAGCCATGGCGGTAGGAGCCAAGACGTCTCATATCGATGCGATGGATCCCATAGGTCCTTGCCAAAAGTAAACGGGTTGCGAAACGTCATTGTTTCTTGTTGCCTGAAGTCGAGGGACAGGCGCTTGATTGTGTGTGTGTTGTGTGTGCGGTTTTGCTTCACAAGAGCTGAGTGGTCCTGTGCGTCGGCTACTCCCGCAGTAGTGCATGAGAAGAAGAGAGAGAATGGTCGAAAAGCTGAAGGAGAGTGCTACCACTCCTGCCGAGTTTGATACCCCAAAATGGGTTATTGGTATATAAAGTCGTTGCCTTCTTTTTCTGTCTTTTCGGGCTTGACTTTTTGAGTATTCTGGCGTCTCGAGGCGGGCAAAAAAAAAAAAAAAGAGGCCCAACGAATCTGCGCCTATCGCGCAAAAAAAAAAGAGGCTTGCGGGGCGATGGACCGAGACTAGGCCCCAGATATTAGATTGCTAGCTACCTGCCTAAGAACTAGCAGCAGAATGGGCTAGATGACCCCCAAAAGAGAGGCAGAAGCAAAAAAAACGTGGAAAAGGAAAGGAGGAAGAAAAAAAAAAAAAAAGCAAAAGATGACGCAAGTTCAAACTAGTTTTCGCTTCTCGAGTGGGGGCTGGTGCCTTGCAGGCTTGATGTCCGTGCGGTTGAATTGTTGAGACCTTTTTTTTTTTCCAATGTTCTTTTTTTGGGTTTCCCATCAATAAAATTCATAAGTTGGTTATAACAGAGCTGATATAGAATAGGTACGGAGTACACATGACCATGACACGAACGCATTGGCAGAGGCATTTGCAACGTTACCAGTAACTAATAAAACTACCAAATATCAGGGAATTGTTATATGTATCAAATGTCTCGCTCGGTTGTGCCTTGATGCCGCACGAGGTGCTCATACAGCTAAAGATGAGTAATACCTGGCTAGTCATTGAAACTTTCTGATATTGTCGTTTACAAGTACGAGCACGCGCCCAATGATGGATGGGTCTTATGGTACCTTTCTCAGCCTGCATTTGGAAACTCTAAAAAAGCGCCAGACAAAAAAAAAGCGCCCGCCGCAGTGTTTTTGACTAAGCTGCCGCTCCTGGCAATGTCCCAGATTCCCCAAAATAGACGTGCGTTGAACGCTTGAACATTGATCGTCCGCCTTTTGTCTTGGATCCCGGCCTGCAGCGAGCTATACCCTTTTTAATAATTAGCACGCCAGCGACAGCCGTTGCTGCTAATCACATGGCAGCACTAGTTGGGTAGTTTATAAATAGCTTCACCAGAGACAAGACGGGCGATTGCAATGTGCAAAACAGGTGGCAGATACAAAACATATGACGCAGTCTATGACTTTCTTGTGTGATGAAAAATTAAGCAAAATATTCATCATCATCATCATCATCATCATCATAATAATAGAAAAGTTTATATGGTTGGCGCGTATGTTTAATTGTAAGGATGGCTAGACAGGTTCCGGGCGTCGTTTCAGAAAATATGCTACTGTCGGGGACATCCGTACAAGGTCTGTGGGCTCGGGAAGATGATGCGGCATGCTCCCGTTTTTGGAAATAGACATGATTCAAGGTAAGACGTGATGAAAAACTGACATTGAGAAAGAAGAGAGAACCCCAAAAAAACGCAGTGCGCAATGAATCAAGCTTGGTAGGGTAACTGCCAGATTCTATTCGTTGGCACCCCCAGAGCAGAAGTGCAATGAGTCAGTTGATGCTACTAATCAAAGAGCAGCGTCCAAGTGATGTATCGAAAATCGCAGTCTGCTAGTTATCCGAGGCGATCGTGAGAGTGTTGCGTCAAGGCACGGGCGGTTGACTGGGCAGTGACTACTCGTCGGGATTTCGCGGCACGATATATTATCAAATTTGGATAATAATTGAAAAAAAAAAGAAAAAAAAGAAAAAACGTCGTTTGCAGCATAACAATGTGAGCCTCGTCTTTGTGCTCTGCGGATTCTAGAAAATTATCCGTATTAGATGGTACCCGGGTGTCGGCGCCGGCCATGCCCTTGACCGAGTTTCATATGGTGAAGCGGGACGATGCATCTGCGGCAGGCGCGCCGAGAGGCTCAGCGCAGAGCGTAAGACAGGGGACAAGAAAGGAAAAAAGAGAGATGAAAATAAACGAAATGTATCTATCTCATACATGTTGTCAATATCGAGAGAATTGCCCCTGAGAAGATCTGGTTATATGTTTCGGCGGGCTCTGGGGCGGTTCATCTCCCGCGGCGTGCCTGCATAATGGGCTGTTTTATAATATCATGGCAGCAAGGTACTGAGTTAATAAAGGTGCGCCGGCCCGTCTGCACCATGGGTGAAGTGCAGGCTCGATTATTGGCAGCGAACCAGTCGAACAAGTCCTGACTGGTTTTTTTGGGGAGGGGGGGGCTTATCATTACCAGCACATATGACTTGGCACCTGCGCTATGACGGGGGACTAATGAGAAATTGAAGTGGCTCGTATCTCGTGGCTCAAAGTACCTAGCCGTTTGGTGTTGGCGGGGGACGGGCAACAAAGTTTTTTTCTGCTCTTGTTAGTTGTTTCGTCTTTCGTCTTTACCTGGTATTCGTACGGGAGGATACTCTGTTGTTTATGCGCTGTCAGCGCAAAAACAAGCCGGCCAGAGACAAATGTGGTGGGCCTTTGGGGGGAACAGCTGATGGAGGAGATTCGCATAAAAGATGGCTGGATGGCACGGATGGGATTGGGTGAGAGGTAGAGATGCGCCGAGGAGTTGCGTAAAAAATACAGTCCAAATATCCGTAACTACGGATAAGTACGGATTAGCTGTGTTGTCTTGGAGTTGGAATGTTGCACCGCACTATTAATACTTGCCATTATTAGATTAAAACGCCACGAGGGTCGTCAGGGGAAAAGACGATTTTAGAAGCGAGGCTGTCTCAACTTGTTCAACTGTTTACTGGCAGTGACCGGGTACCTACCTCTATTAGTCTGTGCCAATGAGTACCTATTTTTTTTAGCGTCCGCTAGCGGATGCCGCCGAGTCCACTGTAATCCTGTTGTTTACAGCGGTTGTTTGACATGATGTCTAGCGTGTGAAATGTCTTGCCTTGCTTTGTAGAGGGAAAATATGTAAGGGAAAAGATGCTGACATGGTCTTGTCTATCTTGTTCAAGACTTAAGTCAATAAATGCACGAGGCTGCAGGATGAATCGGCCGCAGGATAACTAGGTACCTGTAGGCAGCGTGTATATCCCTTGCAGAGACTGGGCCTACTGTGCCTTTACTGTGCCTTTACTGTGCAAAACCCTGGAGCCCTGTAAAATAGGTAATTGCATGTAAAAAGCACCCCTAGCACCGCTGCATTGCACCCCCGTAGCCCGCTGAAGATTCCCAATTTAGCTCGGCTTGCCTCTAAAAACGCCCAAAGAAACTCCGCCTTTCCAACACCAACGTGTACCACGTCACTCAACATCTTGGCCCATCTTCTTCTTCATTGCCGTCAATACCAAAAAGCAATCCCTAAATGCAGACTTGATCGACTGAAGAATTGTACACGCAGCTCTTGACAAATCTTTATTATATCAACCCCGTCGTGGTAGCACTCTATATCCCTTGCTGCTGCTAATATTATTCATTTGCATGCATGCGTACACAAAGTGGTCCCCGTCCGCCTCACTCGTTGCGCCACACGGTATGACCGTCGGTACGCCGTACGATACGGTACACCCCCCCCGTCCGTCCCCTCTCCCCCGGTCCAGTCCAAGTCCAATTCATCCTGGTCTTGCAAAGCCTTTATCGTCCCTGTCCGCGTCTATTTACCAGTGCGTCGCTGGAATCTCATCTTCTTTTCCCTCTTCAATCCTCCAATCCATCTTTTCACTGCGAATACAGCTTCCCTAACGTCTTTGGCATCGTTTTCCTGTCAGCGCCTCGCCTCTTTCTACCAAAGCCCTCGCCCGCCTCGCACCCCTGCTGCCTCTGATCCGCATCGCGATTCAGGCACCGCAAACTCGCGCCGCCCGAACCCGACCGACATCTTCGCCTCTACCCAACGACCAACCCTCGCACTCTTGATAACCTCCGTCTCCCTTGTCAAACCTAAGCCACTCGCACGCTGTGATTACCCCGCATTGCATCTACCGCCACTCCTGGTTCGCACATGCAGTGCTCAGCATAACCTGAGACCGCCTACATCGATGCCTGTACGCCTGTAACATCGATACAATTCCTCCGCGGCACCTTGCTCCGGCTCTGCTTCGCACACGCAGTCCTTGCATCAGACGGGGCTGCTGCTCCCTCTTCACCCGCCCGGGCAGCACCTCGTCTTGACAGCATTCGAAAATGTCGACAGCGCAGCTACCCCCTCTGCAATTTGACGAAGGCGGTCTCCAGATCGTTCTCCTGCCCTCGCCCGACGACGGAGACGCTCGTTCTCTCAACGAGCCCTCGGCCGACAACTCTAGCCGCGACACCGATAATCACGATAAAATTGAAGACAACGGTGGTGGTAAGCTGGAGGCGAATTCTTCAGAGTCCACGCACGAACCTCTGAAAGAGACTCTGCCCTCGACTGCCTACCAACCTGCTCCACGTTCACCCCATAATCTTCACCCAGACACTGCTCAGACTGAACCTATAAATCAAGGGTCAGCCCCTCCGCAAGAAAAAGAAGTGCATCATCGTGAACCAGAGCAATACGACGAAAAGCCCCTTGAACCAGAAGCCATACACCACCAACCTCTGTCATCTTCAGAAGAGTCCGAACGAGACGTCGAGACCCCCCATCCCTGGCAGGAATCGCCCTCAACCGGAGACGACACTGCGCCGGAGCACCCGATTCCAGCATTCCAGGATGCCTTTGCCGAATCTCTGCGGGAAGTCACCGAGGGAACGGCTGCCCAGAAACCTCCACTGCAACAGCTAGACGCCAAGGCTCGCCGTGAATTACTTCTCAGCCAAGGCAAGGACGAAGAGCCTTTTGATGTCAAATGGCGATATCGACCAGGACAAACCCAGCACGAGGTCATGAAGCTAGTCGCCCAAATCTCTTTTGGCGTCTACCTCATGTTTAACGGCATGGCAAACAGCAACACTCAGGTTATCGGTATTCTCCAGGGCCACATTGACGAAATCGACGAGTTTCTCGAAGTTGCTCTTGAAGACTTGAAACAGGCGATAGAAGACTTAACAAAGCGAATTCAGCACCTCAAGCTCCCCATGGAGAACATCACAGTCTTTGAGCAACTGCTCGAAGACCGCAAATTCCGAGCCGAGATTCTCGACGGAAATGAACGGATAGATGGTATTCTCACTCGGACCAATGCGGCTATGCGGCAATGGGACGATGATATCGAAGCTGGTCTTCGAGGCAGCACAGTCTTTTCCAGCTGGCTCAATGACCAAGCTGGTGGCGACTGGCGCCATGAGCAGCCTGACCTCGTCGACGTTTACGATGCCATGAAGGGTAACACTGAAGGATGGCTCAATGCTTTTGAAGATATGAATGAGCGAGCACAAGAGATCAATGGTCTCATCATGACGCTCATGACCATTATTACAGAGATGGAGAGCAAAGCTGGCGAAGTGAGCCGAAGAACCTGGGTAAGATGCTCGCCTCGTATGTAATACAACGTGCCACCTGACTAATTCCTTTGCAGACTTCTGTCGCGCCGTTTTCTACCCCGACTGGAACAATTCACTCGTCATCAACTCACAAGACTGTCAAAGGCGCTTCTCCGTCCCCGCCACCCTCTCGCAACTCGCATGCCAAATCATCAGTCAACACCTCTCTCAATCAAGCATATAATCCGAATTCTTTGTCACTGACACCGAATGAGTCCAACCAGGGAGATGAAGAGTATGACGATGACGAGGATGACGCTTTTTTCCCACTCCCAGGCGGTTTGCCCTTGCTGCCCCCGACTACAGCGCGTCACCGTGACACTTCATCCATCTCGTCGAAGCCGCGCTCAGAGACAATTGCAGAGTCCCCCACGATTCAGCCAGCAGAGACATCGTTGGAGCGGGCAAGCAGCAATGCCGCCCGTGACGATACGTCTTTGTATATTCTCCAGCCGCGCACTTATACCCCACAGCCTCCTGCTCCAGTTCCTTCTCCCATGCTGATATCATCACCTTCGTCTGCGGAGCCTGCGCCTCTTCGCAAACGAGCCTCTCTCCGCAATCGTATCCTGAATCCTCCAACTTCAATCCAAATCCCGCCAACCTCCACTCCCGACTCTCCGCTTTATGTGCCCTCGTCATCTTTTGGGACTCCCCGGACTACCAGCTCGATGCACGACCTGCGAAACTCGGAAACTGGCTATAACCGCGCGCCGCCTCGGCCTCGCCAAGCCTCGCCCTTGGACACGCCAACCTCTGACCTGCGGACTTTTACGCCGTCGCCCTTTTCAGAGCATCAAGCCTTCCAGCCTGTCCGAGCCTCACCGCATTCACCTCTGCAGCAACGGCCACACACCGCCGCAGGATCTCAATTGCCTAGTGCCGGGCCCACGGCACACAAGCCGACACCGCTTGGCTCCATGACGAGCATGAATAATATTTCAACTACACGGCCGCCGATGGACCGGTTTAATACCTCGAGCGGCGCGTCGCACAATACCGAACGGCAGCTCAAGAAGAAGAAGAGCGCCTTTGGCTGGTTCAAAAAGGCCTTTACCATGGACGAGGAGGAGCGCGCCGCATTCGAATCCCGCAAGGCGGGGCGCCCGCCGCCACCAAATTACTACGATCCCAATACGCCTCGGTTTCTTGATGGCAGGAGAATACGCTAGAAGCTACCGAGTCTCTTGTGCTTTTTTCGAAAGAGTGTCTATTTGGCGACTATTGTACATATTACACGATATCCTATTCCGGTGCCAGTCTTGGCACATGATGGTCTGATGGCAAAACCAGAGTACATGATGCTCACATAATTCCTTGTCACTATTCAGGAAACAAAACCTTTGGATAAAGACGACTCACACTTGCATTGGGAAGAAGAGCGTTGGCGATGCCATAGTGCATTGGTGCTTTTCTTCTTTACGATACCTTTTGTTTACCCTGCTCCTGGCCAGGTATTGGTTTTTTTTTGTTATATACCAAGTTTTGTATTCTCGAAACTTTCTCTACTGATTATCCAAGAATATGCATAACCACGGTACCATCTATATTCATTTACCCGATACACAAGAATATGACCTGGGCCTCTTGATTCGGTCTGGCCATTTGAAGTAGGTTTCTCATGTCCTCCTGGCCGAATAAACCTAGTTCAGAGTAATTTATAAATGAGTGTCTATACTATCTGGCCATCTAAGGTCTAAGTGCATACGGCTATATCTTATATCTTTAATTTATACAGAAAGAAGCGCCCGACAGGGCTGCTCTCAAAGCCCGTCTCCTAATCACCCAGTCCGTAGCTGCGCACCCGACTAAAGAAGAAAGGCTTGTTATTCTTGAGCACAAACTCGGCCCAGTCCTCTGTCAGCTTGTTGTAGCTGTAGAAGCCGTATAGCACGAGCTTGTTGTTGCGGGACGCCGTCGACTTGCCCGCGCTGCGCACTTGGAGGTCCATCTTGAAGACGTACTTTGAGCCGACGCCCTCGGTCTCGACGGCGAGCTCGTCGTCTCCGCTAGGCGCCGCACCGCGGCCGCGACCCCCGCCGCCGGCGCCAACTACAGCACCGTGACCGGGCGGGGAGAGCTTCCAGCGGCCGCGGTGGGCGAGGCGCATGACGGCGCCGGGGAGGTGGTGGTGCTGGGAGGCGGCGTCGCGGTGCAGCCGCACGGCGTCGCGCGTCATATAGTGAACGACGTCGGCTGGCGGGTCCGAGGCGAGCAGGCTAATGAGGCTGCCGTCGCGGAAGAAGCGCAGGTAGCGGTAATAGGTGACGAGGAGGATGGGGGCGCCGCCCCAGGTCAGCTGGTTGGTCGAGGCCTGTCCGGAGCGCACGTAGTTGACGGTGGAGATGTAGCACCCGTCAAAGCGGATGCGCGGGCGGTTGCGGAACATCTTCTTCCACGTGGGGTACACGGAAGGCGTGAGGGACAGCGTCATGGCGTATTCGCGGTCTTGGCGGCGCTGCGCGCGCTCGCGGGGCGAGAGCAGCCGTCGCTCAGCATCAAAGTCGGAGACGATGGCGGTGCTGCCCTCGTCCCCCTCGTCCTGCTCGTCGTCGCCGTCTTCAAAGTCGGACGACGAGAGGGGACCCCATTCGATGCCCGTGTTCCAGCGGTAGTGCATCCCGGCAAAGCCAAATTCGGGGCCGATGCAAACGCGCCGCCAGATTCGCTGCTCGCTGGCAACGAGGTAGGCCAGCCGTTTGCAGACGAGCGAGAGGCGCACGTACTCAGCGATGTCGGCCACGGCCACGTCGTGCAGGATGTGCGTGAGCAGCTCGTCGGGGAGATTGGCAATGGGACAGGGGAGCGCGGGCTCGCCCTCGACGTCGGGGACGGCCGGGTCAATCTGGAGAGCGGCAAAACTGGAGAGCAGCTCGGAAAAGGTCTTGAGCGGAACGGGCTCAGGGTCAGCTGAAGAGGCAGGTGTTGGGGCTGTTACTTGGGCTTGGACTGCTGGCGCTTTTGATGCTGCTGCTGGAAAATGCTTCTCACGATATCGGCGCTCTACACCGTGATCCATCTGCTTCTTGTTAGTGTATTGCTGGCTCTCGCAGATAAAGATAATTGCTGCCTCACTTTGTAAGCTTTTCGATATAATTGCAGGCTGTCGCCCATGTTGCCCTGAGATTCCTTCTCCATTGCCTCTTCGTAATAATCAAGAGCTGACACGAGCTTCTTTTCCTTGGAATTCTCTGAGGCGTCAAGGGTCCTGGTCTCGGAGGGAATGGTGAGCGGCGGCGCGGGTTCGTCGAATGAACGGCCGCCTAGATAGTCAGTGCCCTCATCCAGGATGAGAGCCCGGCGGGCGGCCGTGGGACTAGGCGGTCCGTTGGCGTTTCGAGAAAGTCCAGGCCGCGTGGAAGAAGAAGCAAACGATTGCTGTGAGGCGTCATGCTGTCGCCCGCGGCTCTGACGGCGGTGATGGATGGGAGATGGAGGTCTCCGCTGGGATTGAAGATCGGAGAGCCATTGCTTTCTGAACGACTCAAGCTCGGTATCGAGGGGATCGTCAGAAGTCATATTGATGCAGTTTATATATTTTGTAGGCTGTCAGATTGGAGGTGAATTAGATGCGTTGGTCAATTAAAAGTACACCGCCGTCGAAGTTAGGATTCAAAGAATGTCGTAGCGCCAAAGTGTCGGCTTATAAAGGAAACATGATGCTGGAGGGGGGTGTGACGGAAAGTGGCAGATATTAGAAAGACGTGGTGAGGTGTAAGAAATGCAGATGATGGTCGGCGTGACAGCTATTGCAGAACGAGAAGCAAGAAAGGGCAGGGCATCTCGGTTTGTGGGTTTTGCCGATGCAGGGTCGGAAGGCTCGACTGAGTTAAATGCAATGCGTCACCGGCGTAGAGGTTGACGGGATAGTTGGTGGGGAAGCTGGCAGGTCTCTGCGAGCGACAATGTATGGCGATTTGGGTGGCGACAAGGTCAGAATTACTTGAGACCACTGTAGAAAGGCAGCATTGCCCTGGCAGTTGGGGAGCACGGCGCTGTAGGGCCACTGTCAGGCCAGCGCTGTGCTCCTTTATTAGGGATAGCTGGCAGCTGAGTCATCAGATTTTGCGAGACAAATCCCCGATCAGCTGCAGGATGCACTGCAGCCAAGCAGCCACCGAGGACCCGGCATTGCCCAGGTACAGTCTGTTGTTAGTGATGCCCGCTTCTTACCGCCTAAGATTCTAACAGATCCTGCTAGTGCGGTGCTGTCGGGGCTTGCACTGTCTTGCACCAAGCTTCGCCCGAGTTGCGCAGAGTTGCGCTAACGTAAAGTATCGCCTCCGGCCACGGGGAGGCGAAACCCACCAAAAATTTGGCCCGCTAGCCTGTCAACGCCCGTCTCTGCACCTTTACCTCAACACCTTTACGACTCCTCTTTGTTCAGGCATCTTATCAATCGCTCTCACTTTTTCTTCTATCATTTTCTATTACACCTTCTGCATCCATCCTCCTCCCATTTTTCCCCGTTGAATCTCTCCTCTCGCCATCAGACATCTGGACTCTCCTGCGATCACCTTTGTCGCAAACGCCGGCTCGCTTCGGCCGAGCTCCTATCCACCTTGACGGCCCGCATCACCATTCACGGTTGATGCGGTCAGAGCCAACACGCACCATGGGCCGCCCTACTACCAGCGCGCAGCTGACCACAAAGGACATGACACCTCAAAACCATGACAGGATAGAGCCGGTTCTGCCGCCTGTCCCCAATATCACGCCTGCGCAAACCATGGTCTCTGCAATGACGGGCAGTCTGCTCACCTCCGTGCTCGGTGCGTCACAAATACCACAATGACGTCTCTTTTTGAATACGTGATGTGCTAACAGAGTTTCTAGTGACACCACTGGATGTCGTTCGAGTTCGACTCCAGTCACAGAAGCCCCCCGTCCCCGCCGTCGATTTCTCCAAGCTTGCCCTCACACCCCACAATCTCACCCCGATTCAAACTGCCAACTTGGGAGTCACGGCATGCTGTCGCGAAGTATTCTTTGCTGGCAACAATGCCGAGTTCTGCTTGGCCGCGCCACAAATCGAAGGAATCACGGCTGGTGTGGCTGGTGGTCGCGTTCATGACTGTGCTGTCCAAGAAGTCGAAAAGAAGACGTACAAGTCAACCATGGACGGTTTCCGCAAGATTGCCCGTAACGAGGGCATCACAACGCTATGGCGCGGGCTATCCCCGACTCTGGTCATGACGATCCCCGCCAACATCATTTACTTTACTGGCTACGACTATCTTCGGTTTAACTCCAACAGTCCACTCTCCAAGCTCTCGCCTGATTATGCTCCGCTTGCCGCTGGTTCCATTGCTCGAGTAATCGCCGTCGCTGCTGTCAACCCTATCGAACTATTCCGCACCCGCATTCAGGCGTCCACAGCCTCTGCCTCTGGTCATTTTATGGAGACGCTCGGGGGCATCAGAAAGATGGTCGCCACCCAAGGGTACACCTCACTTTGGAAAGGGTTCAACTTGACACTCTGGCGCGATGTGCCTTTCTCTAGTCTTTACTGGTGGGGATACGAGACACTTCGTGCCAAATTTACCGATATGCGTGAAGAGCGACGCGGACGATCGCTATCGCGTGAAGAGGACCTTTTCACCGCCCGGCGCCGGTCCCAGAGCAACGAGAATCAGTCGGAAACGTTTGTCGACAGCTTCGCAGCCGGTGCCCTATCCGGCGCGTTTGCATCTATTGTCACCATGCCCTTTGATGTTGGCAAGACGAGGACGCAGATCTACAACAACGGCACCTTGCGAAAGACAATTGGCACAGGAACCGCACCCGAGGAGCAAAGCATGATGCGACTCTTGTGGCACATCTTCCAGACAGAAGGTGCTGCTGGACTCTGGCGCGGCTGGATTCCCCGGACTCTCAAGGTTGCGCCAGCGTGTGCCATTATGATTAGCAGCTACGAAGTCGGAAAGCGAGCCTTTCGATCGATCAATGAGCGTGCAGCGCATAAAAAGCAGCAAGGGCTTGAGCGATAGGCCCGGCTGCCCCGTCTCATTTCAAAACTGGCAAAAGGAAAATAGATCTCATATCAGCGAGGAATGATCATTGCACTCATTTTGGGCGTTATTTGGAAAACTTACAGTCGAGCACATGCTTCTTGGCTATGATGCCGAAGTAATTTGAAAGGCCTCATTATTTCATGTTTCATCAAGAAAAGGGAAACAAAATGGAGCGTAGATGTACGATAGCTTTTAAATAATAAACAAATACTCCTTTATCTCACTGAAATGTGTCCATCGCAGTGGACATCTTTGGCAGTGGGCGCGATGTTGCCAAGTATGTCCTCGACTGCTTGACTTGATCAAGTTGTGAGCCACAATCTATGCTGAGGGCGTGGGTTTCGGTTGACTGGGGAGTCGACCGTTTAAGCAGCCAGAAAGCGAGCACGGTTCTGACGGTGAGATCTGATAAACTAGAGTTTTAGCTGATTAACCTCCGGCGACTACCCCGGTTTTTCCGGCTGTGGAGCTGTCCATCGGGAGCGGACTTTATTATCCGGCAGTGGAAGATGTCTGAAACCGGGAAACGGACGATCTCAATCGTCCTTGGTATTTGATGCACCATGCTGAGCCAGTGAAACCCCCACAAGCGGACTTTTGTCATGACTTGCTGCGCCATGCCGCATCTCACTGCGTCATGCAGCAGGGCTAGGTAAGTCGGTCTTAATGACCACTTTTCATCTTATACCAAGATATGACGTTTCTCTATATTCACCGTCGGAACTCATCAAGTCGAAGACTTGTGCAAAACACTTGATGGGCCATGCTGTTCAGATGAACTGTCCCACGTACATGATCAAAAGGCCGGACTCGGTCACATAATCACCAAAGTCACAAAGAACGCCGTCCCCGGCATGCAAGTAAAGATGCGCACTTTATGCAACTCATCTGAGCCACACTGATGGGACTCTTTCCGTCCCGAAGCCAGATGATGGTTACTGCGAAGCTTGACACCGTTGTCAGCGGCTTCCGAGGAACCCTACTGCTCGGATTTTTGTAGGGAGTTTTGGACGGAATCCGAGTGCGGGCCGCTTGATCAGATCACACGCGGTATAAGTAGCTTCCTTCCTGTTGGCCGATTCTAGGGGTCCCATTCTGCTACTACCCATCCTTTAAGCTTGTATATAAGCTTGAGTAGTAGCTTTCAGAATACGAGACGGTTATCATCATCTTTCGCTACCCATCATCTCCGTCCCAACCTTGCTGTCACACTTCCAATCAAGTTTTGACTTACACACCATGGCGGAAATTATCGACGTCGACTACCTCATTGTCGGCGCGGGCGCCATGGGCCTCGCCTTTGCCGACACCATGCTCAGCGACAGCAAAGCGACAATGGCCATTGTCGACCGCTACCACGCCCCCGGCGGGCACTGGACCGTCGCCTACCCCTTTGTGCGGCTGCACCAGCCCTCTGCCTTTTACGGCGTCAACTCGGCGCCGCTCGGCCGCGACGCCGTCGACCAGCACGGCACCAACAGGGGCCTCTACGAGCTCGCCACCGCGCACGAGGTGCTCGCCTACTACCGCCAGCTCCTGGACCGGCAGTTTCTGCCCAGTGGCCGCGTACAATACTTCCCCAAATGCGAGTACACGGGCGACGGCAGATTCCACGCGGTGCTGACGGGCAAGACGTACCAGGCCGGGAGCAAGACCAAGATTGTCGACGCCACGTACATGAAGGTCACAGTGCCGTCCATGGCGCCGCCCAAGTACCATGTCGCGGCGGGAGTTGAGCTCGTCACGCCGAATGAGCTGGTGACTCTAAAGGAAGGGCGCAGCAACTACACGGTCGTCGGGTCCGGCAAGACGGGCATCGACACGTGTCTGTGGCTGCTGGGCCAAGGCGTGCCGCAGGACAAGATTACGTGGATCATGCCGAGGGACGCGTGGCTGCGCGACCGCGAGAGCCTCCAGCCCGGCGACTTGTTTGGCGAGCGCCGCGCGGGGACTCTGCAGCTGATGCAGCGCGCGGCGGCGACGTGCGCCTCGGCCGACGACTACCTGGACCAGATGGAGCAGGGCGGCGAGGCGATTCGCCTGTCGCGCGACATTCGTCCCGCGTCGTACCGCTGCGCAACCGTCTCCGTCGCCGAGCTGGACGCGCTCCGCAACATTTCCAACGTGATCCGCCAGGGCCGCGTCGTGTCCATCACCGCAGATCAAGTCACGCTGCAGCACGGGGCCTACACGCCGCAGCCGGGTACGCTCTACGTCGACTGCTCGACCGATGGCCTCGCCAAGCTGCCGCCCGTGCCCGTCTTCCAGGGCCGGACGCTGCGGCTGCAGCCCGTCCGCCCGTGCCAGCAAGTCTTTAGCGCCGCCTTTATCGCGCACGTCGAGGCCACCTACGGCAAAAACGACGACGACGATGACGAGGCGGAGGCGCTGAAGAATACGCTGTGCCGCCCGGTGCCGCATCCAAACGTGCCGAGTGACTGGCTCGTCACCAACATTCTCCACGGCAGGGCCAGGGCGCTGTGGCTCTCGTACCCGCAGACGAGGGCCTGGCTGGCGGCGTCGCGGCTCAACTTTGAGAAGCACTGGCTGCCGACGGACAAGGCGGCGAGGGAGGCGCTGGTGGCGGGTGGAATGTCCAGGGAGAGGCAGAAGCAGTCGAATCAGCTGCTGCATAGGCTGTATGGGGTTCTGGATACGCTGCCAGAGGAGGAAGCGGCGGCTGCAAAGGCGTTGATTGGTGACTTGCCCAAGATGGAGTAGATTCTTTCCATCTATGAGATAGTGAGATGGATAACTAGCTATCTAAAACACTGCTTTATTTCTGGGGATTATGACCTTATGTACTGTATCGCCCTGTGCAAGTCTGTTGTATAGGTGGCTGGAAGTACATTGATCAGGAATACGCTCAATCTCACAGAGAGTCCGTCATAAAATGCGAGTCTGTAACGATATACCATGTCGTTGCCCAACAGATGAATTGTCTTGTTTGCCGGTCAACGTTGGCTGCGGTTGTGGCCACCACAGACGGCTCCGCATCTTCGTCTCGGTCTGCGGGCTAGGAACATTCCCAAGGACGTTGTCAATCGAAAAGCCATTTCCACTTCTATGGACCCAAATGCGCTTTTCCAGTATCACGCGGACTGGCTGACGGCGTCTGCCGTCACGCAGACTTACCATTACATGATTGAGGGCGGCCTTGAGTATGGTCTTCTGACCACCGGCAAGCGATTGTGTTTCTCAGGGTTGACTTGGCGGAACCGGAAACGTTGTATTACCACCTAGCAGAACCCGGCCCCGAGGTGCCCGCCCATCCAAATCACTTCCACATCTGTATGGCCGTGGGTCAGTATCTAGCTTTCAGCCTCATGGCCCTCGGCCCACCAGGAGAACGGCGGATGCACGGACAAGACGATCGTCGACAGGCTACCCCTAACTGCCCACCAGATCAGCCATCCCTGCTGTTAATGACGGGTCTTTATATCGAGTGGTTGCCAAATCGCAGCTTCGGCAGACGTCGAACAAGGTACAGATTCCAGCCTCATGCTATCAAGACTAACCCTCGCCCTTCCGACTACTTCAGCATCCACGACCCTTCTTCTTCGCTTCCTTTGGCGACGTAGTCGCCCAAAATGCCTGTCCTAACTTGGGATTTTGCCAATAGAAACATTGGGTTCCATCTGCTGCTGTCTCTTCCATCCAGTCCTTGATCTCGGTTTTGACTTCCTTGCCCTCTGGATTCCTGAAATAGACCTTTCCGTTGCGCGCATATGTCTCTACCCAGCGGGACTCGCTGGAAACCGGCTGCGTAGATCCTGTAGTGGATGTGGTCGACTCTGCAGTGCGTCGAGCTGTATTGGGAAGCTTCTGACTCTTTGCTGATTGGCTCCCTCTCGTACTGGAGGGCGGACTGACTGAATGCCTAGGACGCTTAGCGGTGCTAACGCTTGATGTGAAGCTCGATGCAAAACTTGGGTTATCAAAGCCCGCCGCCTCGAATTCTTGGCTTGGCTCTTGTGAATCTTCCTCCGCGTAGAGATAGTGGGGAATAGAATTCGCCTCGCTAGTGTCTTCCAAGTAATTGCTGGCGTCAGCAATATGCTGCTGGAGTGCATCATCAGCATCTCACAAAGAAACGTAGTCTGAGGGATTCACAGATCCCTGCAACTCGTGAGGGCTTGAGGCTTCCTCATATGCCTCGTGGGGATCTTCCGGGGCCGCTGTTCCTGGTTGGGGCGCCCTGGCGTTCGCAGCTTGGATGAAGCTATCACGGCGTCGTTTTGCCAAGTCCCTGACATTTCTGAACGCGGTGGCCCCCTCGACGAATGTCTTACGAGTATGGGTCATAGCATAAGCTCCTGCCTGAGTCATGTGGTACTCGGGGCGTGCCCCGGGTGTGATCGGTGCCGTGACATGGTGCGCGTACAACTTCAGATAGCCGTCGTGATATGTCGAGCTGTAGGTGTAGGCTTGGCCATCGTATTGTGGCTCCTCCCTGCCGTAGTTCTGCAGACTGTGTATACCGCGGGATCCAATCGCTCCGTCGTAGCGAGCTTGCCGTGTTGCCACAGCTGTACTGCCATCTGGACCTTTGACTTCCATAAAGAAGTTTGGCGCCATCGGTTTATCCTGCATTGTTGACGGGATGATGTGGCCAGCGAGCTCCTCACGGATCGATCGGTCAAGTTCACCGGGATATCCGCCGTAATATATGTTTGGATTTGCTGGCGCTAGAGTGCCGTCCGTAAGCGGCTCGAGATTGCCAAACACGGTATTTCTGGCTAATAGATGGTTGGCTTGCCTCGGGCCGCTAATGATTGGGATCACATCTGCCTTCACATCATCTTCGTCTTTCGCTCGGGCGTTGCTCTCTCGGAATGACTTAAAGGCGCCGTCGGAGAACTTAGAAGGCGAGAGTGACGACCTCGGCACAGCAATTGCCGCCATGGCCTCCTCCAAGTCTGGCTCTATTGAGGAGTATATTGGGTGAACTCCATGGTCGGTCAAATGCTGTTCGAAGCCACGGTTATAGGGAGTTGTCGACTTCTTGGTCGTGGTCGTCCCTGTTGTTGGCAGAGTTGTTGGATTGGTGGACTCAGTTGCTCGACTTCGCGAGGAGCTCATGGCGCCGACGGGATGGCGGTTGCTTGTCGCGGGAGGATACCCTCGAAGATTTCGCAAGTCTGGACCACCGTGTCTCGCAAATCGAGCAAGCTCGCTAGGGGCAGTGGGCGTAAGGTGTCGGATATGCGCTGTCGAAGGCGGAGGACAGGAAGGTCGAGTACAGGTCCGCCTATCCAGTTCTGCTATGGCGCTGTGGATGAGAGGGACCTTGGACAATCTATCCCAGAACTCAGGCGGATACTGCCAGGAGTTGGGATGTTCAACTGCCCGCCTGGTTTTCTTTTCCTGATGGTCGTCTTGCGAAGGCTCGTCAACGCGTTGTCGCTTTCGACTCTTCGTAGGAGGATTGTCGTGCTGCGAGGGCTCGTCGGCGCGCTGTCGCCTTCGATTTTGCGGTCTCGCCATGAGTGACCCATCGTCAAGAGCCAAGATCAGGAGGGGAAGTTAGGGGGGATATTCAGATCGCTGCGAAGGTCGCCGCGCCGCATTTGGTGGTCCGCGTTTGAGTCAACGTGAGAAAGCGTTGATTGATTGCGAAGGAATGATTTATGCATGCATGTGGCGGCGACTCATTTCTCCGTGATGCTATCAGCCAACCATTAGTCGCTTATCCGGAACACCTCATCGCCGACCAACGATATTCAGTCGGTTAATTTCCCTGGTGTGCAAGCGGCCAATCGATGGGTGAAATCATTGGTTGATGTTCACGCCTGGAAGCCTGAGTCGCCTGGGTCGCAGGCCAATTTACCCTGGTTCTCGGTGCTCGGCGAGGGGATAAACGGAATCGACAGGGACCGCGCTTCGATGGGTCTTCGCAGCTTGGACGAAAATTAAAGATTAAAAACTAAGTTTTTTTTTTGTTAAAAACCTATTAATATAATACTGATATAAAGCTAGTTATCAGTATAATATTAAATTAAATAAGTATAGAATTATACAATAAGATGTTAAATCTTATATTATAACATTTAGGGTTCCTTAGTTACCTTCTCTTTCTAATTAGCTCGATTAAGCAGTCCCCAGTTTAAAATAACAGAATAACGAAATAAAAAAAGTGCCGTCACCAGGACCTTATTAGTGTGAAAGAGCAACTTTATAAAAATTGGTCCTAATGGTGCACCGTAGAGGCGGGCCCATCAAAGACGTTTCGAACGATCAACCCAATCATGCCCGAGTAGCCCTGCAGATCTCAGCATACATTGATATCCGGCTTCTGACCCGGGAGTAAAGAGAAAACCTGCATTTACAAAATCTCATCAGCGTGCCTGTCTAGCAGGCGTAAACGCAACCAGGTGCCAGAAAATACACAGGGCTCCCGTCTTTGCCCTTCGCGGTGCAAGTTCCAAGATCCAGGAAATCAAAAGAAGAGGTGTGCACAGCTGTTCTCGGTCGGTCCCAGACGGCAGAATGTATGCGCTCGCCAACCTCGAAAGCCACCGCTTCGGCCGCGGCGACTCCGTCTACGTCACCGAGATTGCGCGCACCGCTGTCGGCCTGGCCGCCATCTCGACGGACAATGCGCTCTCGCTGCTCGACCCCGCGCGGCTGACGGCCGGTCCAATTGCCACATGGACGGCGGCGCACGGCGCGAGCGTGACGGCGCTGCGGGTGCTCGACGGCGGGCTGGCGTGCACGGCGGGCGAGGACGGCACGGTGGCGGTGTGGGATCTGAGGATGAAGGGCGCCGCGGCGAGGGTAGCGCAGTTTAAGGGTGAGTTTTTTTTTTGCTTATAAGACTCCTTTTATTTTCAAATCATGCACTGACGAGGAGAGCCACAGCGAGCGAGGCGCCGATATTGTCCATGGCGTGCAACAAGGACACCAACACGATAGCCGTGGGCACGGAGCTGCAGAACCACATGGCCTCTATCCATCTCTGGTACGCTGGCCATCTTTGACATTTCTCGACACTTGTGTAAAGGAGCATACAAGACTAATTCCTTTTAAATGGCCCATTGACAGGGACGTCGGCGCCGCACCCACAGCCAAGGCGCACTACCAAGACGTGCACAGCGACGACGTGACGCAGCTCGCCTTCCACGCCGCGCAGCCGGCGCTGTTGCTGTCGGGCTCGACCGACGGCCTCGTGAGCGTGCACGACACGCGCGTCGCCGACGAGGACGAGGTGACGGTGCAGACGTTCAACCACGGGGCGTCGATCCACCGCGCGGCGTTTCTCGCGCCCTCGAGCGAGGTGCTTGCGCTGTCGCACGACGAGCGCTTCGCACTGTACGATGCCGCCGAGGAGACGCCCAGCGGCGACGCGACGCGCGACTTTGGCGATCTGCGTCCCCGGCTGGGCTGCCAGTACGTGGCCGACGTGACGCCCAAGACGGACGGTGTCGGGGCCGTCATGGGAGCGGGCTCCCAAGAGTACGTTTCTACCCCCTACCTACCCCTGTCACTGGCAGTTGGATGTCATGTTTGTCTTGCTAACGAAAATTGTGCCCTTTTTGACAGTCAGCAACTATTCCAGCTCTTCTTTCTCGCCAAAGACGCTGAGCAAAAATGGGAAATCGACACGGCGAATAGCGTTGGCTTGCCGAGGGCTCACGGAGAAGAGATTGTACGATCATTTTGCTTCTTTGATCAAGAACAAGTCGTATTTACGGCGGGAGAGGACGGATGCGTTAGAGGATGGCGGGCCGGGTAATGTGAGAGAAAAAAAAAAGCACGCGAGCCAGGTCATTTCGCATTTCAGACCTAAGGGGGTATATTCTAGTAATACATTATTGCTGCCCATTTTCCTGAACCCTCATACCAAGTTCCCAAAATAACAATGCCCGATGAGAGAACAAACTCATACCCTCCCCCCTTTTATGTTTAGCTAAACTTGTCGTGCTTGCTCTTGACCTTTATGTCAAGCAGCGTCTCGTGATAGTTGCCCTCGCGGCGCGCCCGCTTCAGCTTCTTGACCTCGTCATCGTTGAGCCGCCGCCCGACTGCGTCCTCGAGCTCGCGCCGGCTAATCTTGGCGAGCGCCTTTTCCTCCTTGGACGCCTTGAGCTTTGGCTTGAAGCGCGCCTGCATGCGGATGCGCAGCGTCGTGGCAAAGGAGATGGCGTCGGCGTCGCCGCGTACCTCGTCGTCGCGCGCCGAAGCCCGCGTAGTAGTAGACTTTACAGAAAGAAACGTATCGCGCAGAGTCTGCACCTGAAACGTACCGGGCGTGTCGGCGGTGGCGACGAGGCTAAAGGTTTCGAGGGGCGAGACGGCTTCTGAATGCGCCGAGAGCAGGCCAATCTTGTCGCACGCGAGGTATCTAGAGCAGGGCAGACACTATTAGCCCCGCTACACGAACGTGGGTGGGAGGGATGGAATTTCATAGAGCGTTAAAGATGGGGGAGGAAAAAGACGAACCTCCCATGATGTCCCTTGAAGCGGAAATGCTCCGTGCCCGCGATGCGGTTCGCGACCCAGACCTGGCGAACGTCGTGCGGTTCAGCAGTCGCCGGGTTCGCGTCGACAATGTTCTCAATGGCAATGGTAAAGACCTTGCCGCTCGCGTCGCAAGCCAGCGCCGCCGCCGGCTCCGTCGGCAGCACAAACATGACGGGCCCGGAGACGTCGGACGGCGCGTCGGCCGCGACCCAGGTGTCGTCGTCGGCGGGGGGCTCATCATCTCCTTTGTTGTTGTCGTCGTTGTCGGTCTTGCGCAGCTGCTTGCTCGACGAGGAGCCTGCGCCGGCGTCGTCGGCGCCGTCAACGGCGCGCGTGCGCTTGCGCTTCTTTGGCTTGTCGCCCTTGAAGGACAGTGGCTTGACCATGACGGGTCGACGGCCGAAGAGGAGGAGGGGGGAGGGGACCGGAAGTCCGGAGGCCGGAGTGGGGTTTGGTGAGTAACGGGGGGGTTTCTGCAGCTGGATAGATAAAAGAATGCGGTTCGTCTTGTGTCGGGCCGGAGGATGCGCCTTGTTGCGGCAAGAAAAGGTGAAATGATGAGATGGCGGGTCTCGGAGGACGGCGAGCTCCAACAGGTGAGGTAGCTGGAAGACGCCGCTTTTAGTGAGCCGGGGAGCTATGATGGCTACAGACGGGTACCTGAGATGCCCTGTAATCAGGTTAAAGCAGCGTGCGGCTTACCTAAAGCTCCAACGGCGTGGGGGAACATTATAGTGCCCCAGCCAATGGATAGAAGCCTAAAAGCGCGAACAAAAGGGCCGTAAAGTGCCCTGACAGCCCCTCCCCCGCCATTAGCCACAGACCAAACACCTGGGGTTATAATCAAGCTTCTTTTCTTCACCCACCAAGCATTACTATTCAGTCTTGCTCATTCTTCGTCATCTCTCTCTCATATATTCTCATTCGATTCAATATTACGCAATATTCGTACAAAAAACCCGTCCACGCTGGTCACAATGGCCGCACAGGCGCAGGCCGTCACAGTCTCCCTTAAAGATCTCCAGTCTGGTAGGTTTCATTTTGGATTGGCCCGCCGTCACAAATCACTCCTTCGGGTTCTCGGCAAGAAAAAAAAAAAAAAACTCTACCCCCATATTTCAGGTGCCTGATTCGCGTTGGTTGTGGCTGACCTGTACCCTGTCAATAAGGCAATGTCTCTTTCGAGACTCTTCAGCGGGCTTTTGGCCCAGACTCGCTTGGCATCCTGGTCGTCAAGGATGTACCCGAGAAGTTTCCCAGGCTGAGACACTCGGCTCTATCTTATGCCTCGTATCTCGGCAATCTTCCTCGAGAAGAGCTCGGTATGTTTTTTGAAGAATTTTTCGAAAAACTTCTTCACCCCATGTCTGATCCATACGCTCTATTGACAGCTCGCCCACCACCTTAGAAAAGCTTGAAAACGCCCATGCCAAGTACCTCACCGGCTGGTCCTTGGGCAAGGAGACTCTCAGAAACGGCAAGGCCGATACCTTCAAGGGATCCTACTATGCCAACTGCGCGTTTTACGTCGACCCCTCTCTCGAGTGCGCCAAGCCCACCGCCGAGTTCTCCGAGGAGACCTTTCCCGAGTACCTGTCCCCCAACCAGTGGCCCGCCGATAATGTCCTTCCCGGCTTTAAACCCGCCGTGACAGACCTCTGCAGTCTCATCATTGATGTCGCGGTCCTTGTCGCCCGTGCCTGCGACCGCTTCGCCGAAAAGGAAATCCACGGCTACCCCAAGGGTTACCTTGAGCACGTCGTCAGCACCTCTAACACCACCAAGGCGCGCCTCCTCCACTACTACCCCCAAGGCAAGGAGCATGCCGCCGCCGCCGACGGCGACGAGGACGAGGACGACTGGTGCGCCACACACCTGGACCACGGCTGCCTGACGGGCCTGACGTCGGCCATGTTTGTCGACGAAAAGGAGACCGACGCCAGCGTGCCCTCCTCCGTCGTCGGCGTCACGGGCGCGAGCCTGCCCACGCTGGCCGAGCTGCCCGCGTCGCCGGACCCCAGCGCCGGCTTGTACATCAAGTCGCGCACCGGCGAGACTTTCCAGGTCAAGATTCCGCGCGACTGTATCGCCTTTCAGACGGGCGAGGCGCTCGAGCGCATCACGGCCGGCAGGTTCAAGGCCGTGCCGCACTTTGTGCGCGGCGTCGGAGCGAGTGTCAGCAATGGCCGCATCGCGCGCAACACGCTGGCCGTGTTTACGCAGCCCAACTTGGGCGAGGAGGTGGACATCGAGCAGCATCTCACGTTTGGAGAATTTGCGCGTGGTGTAGTCACCAAGAATACCGTATCATAGTGCCGCAAATGTAAAACAAGCACAAAATTT